AGAGGGCACAGTGGATAGAATGCTAAACCTAAGTTCCGGAAGACTTGAGTTTGAATCGAGCCTCAGACACTCCCAAGTTGTGTGACTCTGAGCAAGTCATTTAACTTGTTTGCCTCATTTTCCTCATCTGTAAAGTGGGTTAACAGGGGCAGCTAGGTGGCACAGTTGATAGAGCACCAACCCTGAAGTCAGGAGGACCTGAGTTCAAATCCAGTCTCAGACCAAACACTTGCCAAGTACTAGCTGTGTGACCCTGGGCAAATCACTTAACCCTAATTGCCTAAAAAAATTTTAAAAAAATGGAGATAACAATAGCACCTACCTTCCAGGGTTATAGTGAGGATGAAATGAGATACTTGTAAAGTGTTTTGCAAACCTTAAGACATTATTGAAGTACTAGCTATTGTTGTTGTTATAGATGGAGATGGAATGTCAGGGAGGCAGCAGTTGGTCAATGAGCATATGCAATGGGGATACAAAAAGAGTCAAAAGACAGTCCCTGCCTTCAAGGAGCTCCCAATCTAATGATGGCAACAACAAGCCACCCACTGTGCACAGACAAGCCATATATAGAATAAATATGAAACTGTTAACAAGGAGAAGGCGCTGGAATTGAGGGGCTAAAGAGACTTCCTATAGACGGTGGAATTTGAGTTGGGACTTGAAGGAAGCCAAGGGAGTCAGTAGGTGTGGTTGAGGAGGGAGAGCATTCCAGGCATGAGGAACAGCCAAAGAAAGTGCCTGGAATAGAGACGTGGAGTGTCTAGTTTGTGGAAGAGTATATGGCAGGGAATAAGGTGTAAGGAGACTGGAAAGGTGGCAGGGGAGGGTGGGTTATGAAGGGCTTTGAATGCCAAATAGAAAGCTTTGTATTTGATCCTGGAGGGGATAGGGAGCCACTGGAGTTTATTGAATAGAGGAGTGACATGATCCGGCCTGCACTGTAGGAAAATCACTTTGGTGGCTGTGGAAGATGGATTGGAGTGAGGTGAGACTTGAGGCAGGCAGACCCACCCAGAGGCTATGACGACAATCCAGGCATGAAGTGATGGCCAGTACCAAGGTAGTGGCAGTGTCAGATGAGACAAAGGGGCCTACTTGAGAGATGTTGCAAACGTAAAATTGACAGACCTGGGCACCATATTGGATATGGGGGGGTAAGAAATAGTGAGGAGTTCAGGATGACTCCCATGTTGTGGGCCTGAGGGATTGAGAGTTGCCCTCCATAGTAATAGGGAAGGGTGAAGTGGGGAGGGTTTAGTTTTGGACATGTTGAGTTTAAGTAAGATGTCTACTGGACATCCAGTCCAAGATGTCTGAAAGGCAGTTGGAGATACAAGATTGGAGGCCAACAGAGAGGTGGACAGGATAAATGGATTTCATAAACAGCAGCAAAGAAATGGCAACTAAATACAGGGGAGCTGATGTGATCACCAAGTGCAGTGGATAGAGGGACAAGAAGACCCAGGATAGAACTCTGTGGGGACAGTGGCCCACACACCCTCTAATGAGGATCCAGCGAGGGATACTGAGAAGGAATGGTTTGATAAGAGGAGACTCAGAATCGAGTGATATCCTGAAAACCTAGTATCAAGGAGAAGAGCGTGATCAACAGAGTCAGAGGGTGTAGAGAGGCCAAAAAGAATGAGGATCGGGAAAAGATCATTGGGTTTGGCAATTAACAGATCATTAGGAACTTTGGAGAGAGCATTTTCAGTGGAATAATGAGGTTGGAAGCCAGATCTTAAGGGGTTAAGAAGAGGGTGAGAAGAGGAGAAGTAGAGGCACCTATTTTATGAATAAATGGTCTTCTCAAGGAGTTTAGCCACAAAGGGCAGTAGAGATCTAGTATAATGGGGGGGGGTGGTCTGGAAGGATCGAGGGAGGGTTTTTGAGGATGAGGGAGACATGGATATTTGTAAGCAGTAAGGAAGGAGCCAGTAGACAAGAAGAAAATGAAGATAATTGATAAAAGGAGATGGGATGTGTGATGAATGAAAAATCCAAGAGATATAAGTTCTGGGTAATTAATAATTAATTTTCATTAATTATGGCTAGTAAATAATAAAGTGATGGTCACTTGCCTTTCATAAACAAAAGACAACCATGGAGGCCGCCCAATGCTTATATAGCCTTAGAAGAGCAGGTGTTCTCCACAGATAGAAGTCAACTCTGATTGGTTAACAATTAATGAGATAATGAATATTATAATGATAGGTAGACCTATTCTAATGAGGGGCTGGGGGAAACGTGACTTTGATTATGTCATTCTTACTCATCTCTTCCCTAGACCACTCCTGGCAATCTAGACAAAGGGCTCCACCCCCACCCAAGCCTGCCTGAGTGGAACACAATGGGCAGGAATTCTCCTCGATTAGATTCTCTTCGTAAGGTTTTCTAATTGATCAAAAAACATGTACCCAGAGGATTTGGGCAATCTCAGCAATGTTCTTCAGAGATTGTTGATTGTTATCCTTTGTCCTTCGTGACCTTGGGAAGGTGAAGTCATGAGAGACTGGCTAAATAATCTACAGGGGCTGGTTTCTGAATGAGGAAATAGAAAGGGAAAAAAACCCCTGGATTTCTCCCCTCCCCCATATTAATTGGTTATTAATACAAGAGAGAAATAATCATTTTTCTTAGATGGAATGGAGTAATATAGAGTTGAATTGGTTCACTAAGGGGTCAAGATGGCAAGAAGAGGAGCCAGTGACTAGTCTAGGGGTCATAGACTAGGAGAGAACTGAGGGGTAAAGGGATTGGCAGTCACAGTGTAGACAAAAAGTAGGATTTGATAAAGGAAGGCAGAAGGAGAGGTGGAAAGTCAATTGATTATGGTCAGATAAGGACACTTCAGAATTCTTGACCATGGAGGTTATGCATTTGTTGGTGATGGCAAGATGAAGGCTGTGACTAACTTTGTGGCTGAGGAGGGATAGAGGAGTAGATCATGGGTAGTGAGGAACTGAGTGATTAGGGCAGTTGAGGGAGAACCAATGTGCATTTTTCCTTCTTGTTCTCCTTTTTTGGATCATCATCCATACCCTGACCTCTATCTGTGGGTAGGAATGTTAGTAAGAATAGCTAGCATTTATATAACACTTTAAGATCTGGTCACTAAGTGGCACCATAGTGCATAGAGCACTGGGCTTGGAATTAGGAAGACTCATCTTTCTGAGTTCAAATCCAGCCTCAGACACTTACCAGCTGTGTTTCTCTGGGCAAGTCAACTTAACCCTGTTTGCCTCAGTTACTTGTCTGTAAAATGAGCTGGAGAAGAAAATGGCAAATCATTCCAAGTATCCTTGCCAAGAAAACCCCAAAATGAAGAGTTGGACACTACTGAAACTATTCAACAACAAATAACAACTCTGGGAGGTACATGCTATTATCCCCATCATATAGATGAGTAAATTAAGGCAGATAGAGGTTAAGTGACTTGCCCAGGGTCACACCAATAAGTATCTGAAGCTGGATTTGAATTCTGGTGTTCCTGACTCTAGGTCAAGCATTCAATCCACTGTGCTATACAAGGCTTAATCCTGGATCCTCTCTTATCTTCTCTATGTTCTTTCTCAGTGACCTCATCTATTCACACATATAACTCTATATGTGTGGATGGGTGATTTCTATATAAGATAAATGTATATATGATAGATGTGTAAGATAGAGATAGCTTATCTATGAGATAACTTATCCATAAAGATAACTCTAGCTATCTCTCTACTGTTGATTCTCAGATTCTTGTTTCCAAATCATTAAGCATTTTGAACCGGATGTCCTTGTAGACATGTCAAACTCAACATGTCCAAAATTGAACTCACCTTTCCCCCCACTCCCACTCTAAACCCACCCATCCTTCAGACTTCTCTCTTTCTGTCATGGGCCCCACCACCTTCCAGTCACCCAAGCTGAAACCTCAGTATTACCCCCCACTCTTCATTCTTACTCCACATATTGACTCAGTTGCCAAATCTTGTCCTCTCTACCTCCCCAACATCTTTCTCATCTATCCTTTTCTCTCCATTCACATAAGTCCTCACCACCTTTCACGTGGACTATTCCATTAGCCTCCTAGCTGGCTCAAGTTTCTCCACATAACTGACAATGTAATTTTCCTAAAGTGTAGGTCTGGCCATGTCACTCTCAATAAACTCCACTGGTTGAGTATTACTTCTATAGGATCAAATATAAACTCTATTTGGCATTTAAAGCCCTTTAAATGAAATTTAAATGCCTCACAGTCAATCAATCAATTAATAAATATTTAATAAGCACCTATTATGTGCTAGGCACTGAGCTAAACACCACCCCACTTTACCAACATCATTATATATTACTTCCCTTTCTGTATTCTACAATCTAGTCAAACTAGCCTTCACACTGTTCCTCTCACACAGCACCCACCTCCATCTTTGCTCGACTTATCTCCTGTGTCTCTAACATAGTCCCTCATTACCTTTATCTCCCAGAATCCTTATTCTCCATCAAGGGTCAGCTTAAATTCCCTTCTATATGAAGTCTTTCCTGCTCCCCCTCAACTGTTAATGCCTTCCCACCAAAATCACCTCTGAGGTGTATTGTATATCCTGAGAAATGCACATGTTATTTCCCCTGGCTAGACTTTAAACTCTAATGCAAGGACTGTTTCAGTATTGTTTTGTAACTCCAGTGCCTAAGCATGGTGGCTGGCTCATAGCAGGTGCTTAATAAATGCTTGTCTATTGATAGATTTCACAAGAATTGTTAAAAAAAAAAACAACCACAGAAAATATGAACCAAGTCAGTTTGAAAGATCCTGTGACAGTGTTATCATCTAAGAGATAATTATTGTGCTGAGAAAATATTGAGGCATGGGCAAAGCCCAAGAGAAATGGGGCCAGAGAAGAAGCAGCAAGTACAATTAACCAAATGACCTTTTCTTTCATTTCTCTCCTTTTTCTGGTCCCACAAATTGCTGATGATCATATGCTGCTATTTATGCTGTTTATTTTTAACAGATCAGCTGGGCATCCTTGTTACCAGAATCCAAAATGTCCTGGTAAGTACAGCATACAGAGCTGATAATAAGTATAATTAGGATAGTTCAAAGAGGACAATTTGCCTGTAACATGTAACATGATGGGCTGGAGTTGGGGCTGTTTTTGTTTTTGTTTTTTGTTTAAGCTGTGCTTTAGAATAGCCTTTGAGCTTTGTCTCGTATGAGACGACCAAAGAATTATCCAGCAAAATCTTTTCCCTTCTGCTGACCTTCCTTGCAGGCAACCTTCCTTCTCCACCAAACAAATACTGTATTCTAAAAGTTTATGTCTGGTTTTTTTTTATTATCCATAGCTCAGAGGTCAAATGTATTCTGTATCCTGCCAGAAAGAATACACAATTGAGTACAGTGATCCCTTCCACGTCTCAGGGATTAGGGCCATGGCACCTCCTCAATCTGGAAAATCCACATAAAATTTTTTGACCCTCCCTTCATACCAGAGAAATCTGAATTATTATGGTATCAAAAGATAAAATACATTGCTATTATATAATATTATACACATATTTTATGCATTTCTGAGTTTCTAAACTTTTTCTGTGTATCTACTGGCCTTCTCATGTAGACCACAGCTTCCAAAAAACTCCCCCCACATTCCCATTTAATTTCTTATGCTGACCCACAATATATTAAAACCCTGATGCTTGATGGGGAAAGTTGAGATGTGAAAAGTTGTAATGTTTAAGGGATAACTGTATCTTCAAAACACAAGAGTTGCTTAGGGGGTCACTTTTTCCCCTTCACTTAAAAAGAGAAATGGTGTTTTCAGTGGACATACTGATGGCCTCCCCTTCCAGGTAAGAAACAAGACTGTTTAGCTTAGAGAAAACTAGCAAGGATGTGTGAACTGGCTTCAAATATTTGTCACACGGAGGAGGCATCCCACCTCCGAAGGTAGGACCAAGAACCAATGGGTAGAAGCTGCCAATGGGCAAATGCAGGCTTAATGGAAAGAAGAGCTTCTTGACAATGAAAGGTATCCCACAGTGGAGTGGGCTGCCCGTCCCCAAGACATGGCAAGTGAAGAGGCTGGATGCCCACTTGTAAAGGATTTTGTAGGCCAGGCACAGGTTGGACCTGATAGCCTTCCAAGTCTATTCTCACTCTGAGTTTTCTATGATTCCACGGTGGTTTTCCGAAGGAACCCCACCCAGGGCTTGCCAAGTTTTTCTTGGGAATTGGAGCAAATTTATGTTCTCTCTTTTTGAAAGTAGTATGATGGTTTTAAAATAAGGTTTTGTTTTGTTTTGTTTCTTGATGTCAAGTACTCTCCCAGTGAAATTATTTCTGGGGCTAATTTTTATGCTAATCAGCATGCATCGGAAATAGCAAGGGAGTTTGGCACTCAAGGATTGCTATATTGTTCTTGTGAGCCTGGTCTTAAAACCTATTCCATAGGTATAATTGTTAACCATAGTACTTATGGCAGGAATACAGGTTTTACTGATTTCATTTTTCAAATTTTATATGATAAAGATAAAATTCACCAACCTTGCGAAGTATAGAGCAAACGCCCCATATCCATGGTGAGTAATCTAGCCAAAAACCTCATTGTTTTTCATTGCCTAGGGCTCACACTTGAAAATTGTAGATTTAAAAATTCCTCTTTAAGTGTCCAACTGTGTACCTTTTAAGTTGTTTGCATGTCTTTAAGTCAGATGGCAGACATAACGGTCTGACATGTAGAAACTGCTAAGATGAGCTCTCCTAGGATCCTTGGTGGCATTTCTATGTTTACAGGTCTTGCTAATTAGATTACTGAGTGATTTTCTTCTTCCCTGACATTTGTATGTTAATATCTTCTTGGGCCACAGATAGAATTGAAGAAGAACAAAAAGTAGAACCACACATAGCCAGGCTGCAGGAATTATGGACCACACCTCAACTCCAAACCGTTCACATTCCTAAATCGACGAATGCACCATTTCTAAAGGTATGCTTAATGGGAAAGGAAAATTTTTTTTGAGAAACTACCTGTCTTGTGTACTACAGATGGGTTTCTGGTTGAAGAGAAGAAAAGATTTCAAAGGCAAGGTGCTGAAAAAAATGAACCAGACCCTCTTAAAGGGTATTTGTACCCAGTACAGCAATCTGAAGCACCCAGAAGGACATTTACTTCCTCAGGTGCAGGGATTGTTTTTTGAAAAATTGTCTTTGTATCTCCAATGTCTACCATAGTGCCTTGTACATAGTAGATGCTTTAAAAATGTTTGCTGAATCAAAGCGAATCCTATACATACAGCAGGTAGTCAATAAATCTTTTTCAAATGAATCCATTCTTCTTAAAGCTTGCATCACTGTAGCTTCTCTGTGAGAAGACTCAGTATTTATTGCTTCTTCTAGACTCTGACTAGGCTCTAGTTTTGTGGTTGTTGTTTTTTTCAATGGGGAATTAGAACCAGGGCTCAAGTTGCCCTAGGAAAGTGTATCCTTCTGATGGCAAAATGCCCAGAGAAGGTAATGGTTTCCAATGTAAAAGTCCAAGGTAGCTATATGGGGGGTGAGGAGCAGGAGAGCAGAGAAGGGAAGAGAAAAGAGAAGAGGGGAGGAGAGAAAGAGGGAGGGAAAGAGACAGAGAGACAGAAACAGAGACAGAGGAAGAGAGAGAAAAGAGGGAGGAAGACAGAGGGGGAGGGGAGGGGAAGAAAGGGAAGCGAATGGGAGAGGAGGGAAAGAGGAAGGGAGAGATAGAGAGACAGAAACAGAGAGAGACAGAGAAAAACATACCTCAGTTTCTCTGACCCTCAAAATAATTAGAGCAAACAGACAAGAAATCAGGCAGCAAATAGGCATTTCTAATATAATATTTAATTCTTGCCCTGCACTGATCAGCAAAGCTCCCAGCTGTCACATATAGTCATTGCCATGTAGCTGGGAGGGTAAAGAGGGTTACTGAAGATTTTCTGTAAGTTGAGGGAATCTGCCTGAACTTTTTTTTTTTTACAAGGATGCTCAAGTGGCTCTGTGATCTCCTTGATGTGGACATATTCTTTCTAGTTGATGTAGATCACAACCCATCCATCCCTGCCCATACACTATGATTCTTGTCCGTGTCCTAGAAGTTTGTCACGGAAGCTCCACTGAGTGTTCTCTGAGACTTCCTTACTTTCTCCTGATGTTTGTGAGGATACTAGCAGAACACGCAGACTGATGACTATTTATCACTTCTATATTTATATCTATGCAGTGTTTGTTGTATTACCCCACTCAAAAACTCATATATATGTATGTATATGTACATGTATACATACATACATACATTTATAGATATACATATATCTGTAAATATATACATGCCCACATATGTATATATATGTATATACACATGTTGTGCACATTTCCTTCAATTCTTCTGTAATTTCATCAATGTTGGGTCTCCCTCTTGTTAATAGCAATCATAATCCCTCTATGACTTAAAGGATGGATGATCTTCAAGACCATTTAGAGGCACCTAGTGGGGCAGTGGATAGAGCATTGGGCCTGAAGTCAGGCGGACTTGAGTCTAATTTTGGCCTCAGACACTTACTAGCTGGGTGACCCCCAGGCAATTCACTTAACCTCTGACTTAGTTTCCTCAACTGTAAAATGGGGATCATAATAGCACTTACCTTCCAGGGTTGTTTTGAGGATCAAATGAAATTATATTTGTAAAGCTCTTAGCATAGAGTAGGTACCTAATAAATGCTTATTACCTTCCTATCTTTCAAGACTTGCCTTAGCAAAAGATTCCAAACCCTGAAGCCAATGTGATGATGAGCATCTCTGGACTTAGCTAGGCAGATCCTTGAGTGACAGACAGATGTGCCCACACTTGATGCCGTTCCACTTTCTAGAGGACATGTTTTGCTGGCATAGCCTTCAAGACCCCAGCATCACCTCCAGGCCACAAGGAGGCACTAGAGGAAGATTTGACTAGAGATCATTTCCTTTCAGTTTAAGCTAAACTGCTAATCTTCTGTTCGGTAACTTGGATTGTAAATTTCTTTATTTCAGCATCCAGACCTCACAACGGGTCAAAAGCGCTATCTCTGCAGCATCGCCAAGATCTATAGCACGGATTCATTGAAGACACTGATGAAGAGACAGTACATGCACATGGTTCAGCATGACACACAAAAGCCAGGCAAGTGCCCACAGAGTCATTGTCCAGCTCTTAACCTGTTGCCCACAATGCCTTGCCTAAGACAATTCTAACTCCTGGCTTTGATTGCTATTGAAGGTATCTCTACCCATCATAGAAGTCAGATCAGTCCACGATATTCCCAGAAGCAGCATTCTCCCTGCACCACATGGAGACACCAGCTGGAGAGATTGGACTCACCACACTCTAGCGTCATAGCTATGCCATCAGCGGAAACACAGGCCATACAGCATTCCCTCTGGCAACCAGGGAGGAACAAAGAAGGGTGTGTCATTGCCTGCTTTGAAGGAATCAGATGCCTTAAAATGTAGATTAAACCTCTAGTCCTGCCTAGGTGCTTTTCATTTGTTGAATTTAGAACAGAAAAATGTGGGACAAGGGTAGAGTGAAACCTTCTTATGACATAAAATGTCAGTCCACAGATGAGGACATGTTCTTTCTTCTGTCCCAAACCAGATTTGAGGGCATGGCCTACCCAAGGCCTTCCCTGATCACTTCCATTGTTAGCATTCTCTGCCTCTGGAACTTAATTTGTATTTACTTTTCTGTCTATTGTATTCACCCAGTAGAATGTAAACTCTTTGAGGGCAGGGACCATTTCTGTCTTCATATCTCCACTGTTGTGCTTGATATGTTTAATAAGCCTACATAGAGGGGCAGCTAGGTGGTGCAGTGGATAGAGCTCTGGCTTTGGAGTCAGGAGGACCTGAGTTCAAATCTGGCCTCAGACACTTGACACTTACTAGCTGTGTGACCCTGGGCAAGTCACTTAACCCCAATTGCCTCACCCCCCCCCAAAAAAAACAAACCAAAAAACTGAACCATAGGTAGAGTTGAATGGCAAAAGCCAGTCAGTCATTGAAACAGGGGAAACAACTCAAGCTAGTCTTGCTTTTGAGCGTCCTCTCCTCTCCCATCCAAAGACAAAGTAGAAGCAATATGTCCTGGGGGTACTCCTCTGCCAGATTAGAGACGATACCCTAACACAGCTTTGTTTGGCAAAGAAGGGATGTTGATTGGCTTAGTGCTCAACCTTTGCTACAGTTGTAAGCTTTGAGCTTTGGAGTAATTTTTAAAAAATCCCATAAGGCTGGCTGAGCTTCTTCTGTGATTGGTGCTAGAAGCTTAACAAAAGAAAGCTTGCTTTGGCTCCCATACACACTTTGTAGCTGTACATTTTGTTGGATGAATTAAAGTATTTCTCTTTTTTTACAGGTTAAATTGTGGCTCTTTACCCAAAGCAAGATGTAAGTCACTGAAGTTTTTTCAGAGACCCAACAAAGCTTTCAGACACTCAGGTAAATACCCAATTAAAAAAAAAAAGATCGACTATTGGGACAAAAAATGGGGGATGAGGCTTAAATTTTTTCTTTCAATAAAATATACTTTGACTTCTCTTCTGGAATATATTGGGAATTGAGGATCTAATTTTCATATACGCATCTTGATACATTACAAATAAATGTGAAATGTGGTTTTGTTTCATTTAAAAGAAAAACACCTAATCGCGGAGTAAGAGTCAAGAATGAGATGACAGAATCATTGGTCTAGAGGTGGAAGAGCCCTTAGAGGCCATCTGGTCCAAGCCCTCACTTTGAGGATGAGGAAACTGAGGTCCAGAGAGATGAAGGATCTGACCCAAGTCTGTACCCAAGGGTAGTAAGTGACACAGGAAGAAGTTAAACAGCCTGTTCTGACCCTACAACCAGAGCCATTGCCATCATACCCCACTGAGTCAACAGCTAAGTCTTTTTGCCAGTACGAGTAGTCTTGATTCTAAACAAACTGGAGAGACACAGGTTTGTAGCTACAGAACTGATGAAGGACAGGACTGTGAGAGAATCAGATGCCTCAAGCTTCAGGACTATTCAGGCTATAGTTACATTCATTCAGCTTTCATTGGTCCTCATCTTATGAACAACAGTAACAACAAACACTATGCGTAAGGTGTATTAGATACAGAGGGAGATACAAAGATGAGGGTAGCCAGCACCAGGCCCAGAGTCAGGAAGACATGAGTACAAATCTGGCCTTAGACACTTACTAGCTGGGTGAGCCTAGGCAAGTCACTTAACCCTGTTTGCCTCAGTTTTATCATCTGTAAAGTGAGCTGAAGAAGGAAATGGTAAACCACTCCAGTATATCTGCCAAGAAAACCCCAAGTGGGACTGCAGAGTCAGATATGACTGAAACAACTGAATAACAACATACAAAGATGAAGATAATGATCTCTGAACTAAAGAAATGTACAGCCTAATAAGAAAGATAAAAGATATATTCAGATGCTTATAGTATGAAACGGAATATGATTAGATGCACAAAAAAAATTGGGGTGGGTGGGAGGGAGGGAGGTGGAGCAAAATAAGGGGAAACTCCAAAGAAGAAATAATATTTGAGCTAGGTCGTTAGAGATGCAACAGCAGAAGTTTGGAGGGAGGGCATTCCAGACAGAAAATTGCATGAGCAAAGGCAGAGTTAGGGGCAGACAGTTAGAAATCCAGGTTGGTCAATCAGTCAAGTATTTATTAAGTGCTTATTATGTGCCAGACAGTGGGCTAAGTACTAGGGATATAAAGACAAAACCACAGAAATAATCCTTGCCCTAATAGAGCTTACATACTAATAGGGAAAACTAATATTAATTACATGTTAATAGGGAAAACAACATGTAAATAAGTAAGTACATACATGATATATATAGAAGAATGCCTGGGAGGATTGGGCAGGTCTCTTGCAGAAAGTGGTATATGAGCTGAGTCTTGAAAGAAGCCAGGGATATCAAGACTTAGAGGACAGAGGTGGGAGATGATTCCAGGCATGAGGGTACAGCCAATGCAAAGTAGGCTGGTATCCCTGGAATGTACAGTGTGTGGGAGGGAAGAAAGTTGCAAGAAACTGGAAAGGGCCAGATTGTGAAGTTTTAAATGCCAATCAGAGAGAACTATATCTGACCCTGGAGGTAAATGGGGCCGTTAGAATTTATTGAGTAATGGTCAGACCTGTTTTAAGAAAATCACTGGCAACTGTGTGGAGAATGGATTGGAGACAGTTATACAGAAACTATGAATTGATGCAGAGGGAAAAGGGAACAATTTCAACAGCATGATAATATTGGGTTTAAAACACTTTAATATGTTTTTTTCAAATTACATGTAAATTTTAAACTTTCATTTAAAAAAAAATTTGAGTTCTAAATTCTCTCCCTTCGTTGAGAAGGCAAGCAATTAGATATAGGTTATACATGTTCAGTCATACAAAACATTTCCCTATTGGTCATGTTGTATAAGAAAACAAAACAAAACAAAAAAAATAAAGTAAAAAAACAAACCAGCCTATGTTTTTATCTGCATTCAGACTCCCATCAGTTCTTTCTCTGAAGGTGGATAGCATTTTTCATCCTAAGTCCTTTGGAATTATTTTGGATCACTGTATTGCTGAGAATAGCTAAGTCTTTCGTGGTTGATCATTATACAATATTGCTATTACTGTGTACAATGTTCTTCAGGTTCTGCTCACTTCATTTTGCATTAGTTTTTATAAGTCGTCTCAGGTTTTTCTGAAACTATTCTGTTCATCATTTCTTACAACACAATAGAATTCCATCACAATCATATACCACAGTTTGTTCAGTCATTCCCCAATTGATGGGCATCCCCTCAATTTCAATTCTTTGCCACTACAAAAAGAACTACTATAAATATTTTTGTACACTAGGTCCTCCCCCACCCCCTTTTAAAATCACTTTGGGATACAGACCTAGTATTAGTATTGCTGAGTCAAAGGATATGCAGTTTTATAGTCCTTTGGGCATAGAATAACAACATTATTATAAAGATAAACAACTTTGAAAACATGTTAGAACTCTGATCAACACAAGTGATTCCAGAGGACTCAGGATAAAAAATACTACTCATATTGAGACATATTTCTTTTGGATGTGCCAAAGGAGGAATTTGTTTTCCCTGAGTATCGATGTTTATAACAGGGTTGGTTTGTTTCATTCTCAAAGGAATCAGGAACATGGGAAGGAGATTGAAGATTTCAGTCACTGATTGAAAAAAGTAAAAATTTAATTAAAGAAAAAAGAATGGATTTAAGTGGGAAGAGCCAAGGTAGGGAGACCAGTTAGAGGCTATTGCAACAGCCCTGAATTAGGGCTGTGCAATTGGAGAGAAGTCAACCCAAGAAACATTTATTAAACACTTATTATGTGCCAGGCACAGCACTTAGTTCTGGGAATGCAAATACAAGCAAAAAGAAAACCTGTGCCCAGAAGGAGCCTACATTTCTAAAGAAAGCTAATACGTAAACGGGATCTGAAAAGGGAAGGGGGGGAGGTGAAAGTAGGAGGCATAGAGGTTTAATCTAGACATAGGAGGGGAGCAGAGAGAAGAGTGAAGGATGGCTGGCCTGGGCCCTTCCTCAGAATAGAGGTTCTAGGAGGAACTCACCAATGGGAGATGAGGTCATAGAGAAGGATCTTCCATCATGAGAAGGCAGCTGAGGCATGGTAGCAAAGTCTACCAGTTAGGTCATCAAGAACATTAAGAGAAGGGAACATTATCAAAGCATAGAGATGTGTGAGGGAGAATAATGGGAGATAAGGCTGATTGGAGCCAGATGTGGGAAGACCTTGAACGTTAGGCTAAAGAATTTAAATTTTATTTAGTATTCACTAAGAAACCATTGATGGCTTTTGAGCTGAAAAGTGATGTGATCAGAGCTGTGAATTAGGAAGATTAAATTAACAGTGCTATATAGGCTGTTTGGAAGGAAAAAAAAGCTAGGGGATACATGTTTTTGTAATAGTCTAAGTGAAAGGTAATGAGATCCGAGACTAGGGTTGGGGCAGTAGAAATGGTTAGAAGAGAACAGATATAAGAGGTAACAAGGAAGAACTGATAAAACTAGACCCTAAATACCATAGTGCTGTGCACATAAAAGGCAGTGTTTATGGAACAGAACAGACTAGATGTGAAGGGCAAAGGGAGGAGTCAAAGATTATTTCAAGATTCAAGCATGGTGAAGGGAATGGCAGTGCCACTAACAGGGGAGTTAGAAAAGGAACAAGTTTGGGGGAAAGACGATGAATTTCCTTTAGAAGATAATGGATTTGAGGGGCAGCTAGGTGGCGCAGTGGATAGAGCACTGGCCCTGAAGTCAGGAGGGCCTGAATTGAAATCTGGCCTCAGACCAAACACTTGACACTTATTAGCTGTGTGACCCTGGGCAAGTCACTTAAGCCCAATTGCCTTTAAAAACAAAAAAAGAATTCCAGAAGGAAAAACTAAACTGCTAAGTCTTATCAGGTAAAGCTTTAGATGCCATGCACGGTACAAGGCTGATGGCTACCTTCCCCACTGCCTGGCTAAAAGTATTCAGCCGCAGGGAATTTAGGGATTTCTGATTATGCAATTCGAGTCAATGGAAAAATGGGACATAATTTGCAGAACTCACTACACATCTGGAGTCTCATTTTGCAAAGTGTGGAATACCTTTGTAGGCTTGCAAGTAAAAGATGGAACGTTTAACCAGTCATTTTGAAGGTTGTAATTAAAATGACCTTAAGACTCCAGAATGAAATGCAGCTGGCTGTTTTTAATTAGACATTATCTTTTTCTTGCAGATATCACAAATGATTCTGACTCATACATGAGTGAAGAAAGAAGAGATGAAGATTTATTAAATAAGTGTATGCAGTCAATGTCGATAGAAGAACAATGGGAAAAGCTGATGTGAATTTGACACTCTTATCCTGTATTCCTGGTTTCAGTTACTGGCCTAAATCCAAGTCATTGATTCTACAAAGTCATGTGCCAAAGGAGGGGGTTGTGAATTCTGTTCATAACTAACTTTAGGTCAATACTATGTTATTCACTATTGTCTTATTGACTAGTTTGGGAACATTCCAAAACTGGGCTTGTGAACATGTAACTGCTTTGATGTAGTTCAGTGTTTCAGTGACATTTGTGCAGTAAAATTTATCTGTAATCCAAGCCCATATCTGTAGTCAGACACTTAAAACCTTTCATGTCACTTAAAAGAAAAATAAGAATTCTTTTAGTTTTCCTTAAAGCATTTGCTACCAAAGGCTACTGAATAGTAAATTTTACATGAGCATCCTGCTATAAATGATTCCTTTTCTCTCTGTGCTAAATCCTCAATAAATGTTTGTTGAATTGGACTTCTCGACTATTACTTCTTAAGTAGGTTGAATGGATACTATGGAAATATATACAGTTATATGGTCACTTAAAATGCAACTTAGACATGGAAATATTCATGTTGTGTACTTCAAGAAAAGCCCTCATATAGAAACCCATCAAACAGAAGGCAATAATTTGCGTTACAAAAGTATTTGCAATAGATGTCCTTAAATAAGAACTTCTCAAGGCTGCTTTCTACAAATCACTACTTACTTGAAAAGGCTCACATTGAGGATCACATTTTTTAAATGAAGATAACAATTTCAGACTCAACTGACAAACTTGATTGGCACATAACTTTTCAGAAACATCTTTTGTTTGAGGAAAGTGTGATTATGTCCAGACATGGAGAATAAAACCAGAAACAGACTCTTTCACGTCACATCATACAGGCTTTGTTCTCAAAGAGATTGTAAAGATCGCCTTGTCCTAGAGTCTCTACCCATGTTTTCATTTGATCCCTCATTTTTCCAAGCTTGAATATTAAAACACAGGTTATCAAGGAAGGATAAGTGAAAGGTAAGTGTTTATTACTGTATAAAGAGGAGGATAGTGTGTACAATGAGGCAGTCTGGAACTCTTCTATTCATGCACTATGTTGGTAACAAAGGCTTGAATGTTAACAATGAAGATATTTACAGAGCTAAACTTCGTTTTTTACATACATCCATTTATCATGTGGTACAAGTTATTCCTTAGAAATCATGTCCTATAAACTAAATACATTCTTATAGTTTACAAGAAGCTTGTAGCAAATTATGTATCACCAAATAAGATGTAGTTTTTAATGCATAATACTTTAAAAATGTCACAATTCTGTGCCTTCTGAATGCTTAATTACTTGATTCGAACAAAGTAATGGAACAAAAAAGATCACCTAGAGGCCTGTTTTAGGACTTTTTATATTCAATTCGTTCTACTTTCACATCATCTCCAATTAGCTGATACACGTAAGTGACAACTGTAGAAGCCTGGATATCCATCAATACAAATGAAGGAATGATGTTTCTAGAAAGGGGAAAAAAAAAGTATGTTAATGCTTCATATCTAAACAGCACTATTACTATAAATTTACATTTTCAAGCTAACAATCTAGAAATAGTATTCAATGATAAATCTGGTTGCAAATCCTTAAGTTGAAAAGGTAACCAGCCCTAACATATATGTAGTTAAAGGATATGACAAACAATTCTCAAAAGAAGAATTGTAAAGTATTAACAATCATATGAAAGAATACTCCATGTCACTAATAAGATAAATGAAAATCAAAACAATACTGAAGTTTTGCCTCATACCTGAAAAATTTGCAAAGATGTTGAAGAAATTATGAGAAGACAGGCACACTAATACACTGTTGGTAGAGCTATGACTCAGTACAGCAGTTTGGAATTATACAAATAAAGTGACTCAAATGTCCATACCTTTTGATCCAGTGATTTCACTAGTGGGTATATATTCTAAGGTGACCATTGATAAGAAGAAAGTCCCCATATAAACCAAAATATTTATTTATTTTCTGGCTAGGCAACGGGGTTAAGTGACTTGCCCAGGGTCACACAACTAGTAAGTGTTATGTGTCTGAGGCCGGATTTGAACTCAGGTCCTCCTGAATCCAGGGCCAGTGCTCTATCCACTGCACCACCTAGCTGCCCCTAAATCAAAATATTTATAACTGCACTTTTTATGACAGCAAAGAATTGGAGGCAGAGTAAATATCCATTGACTGGGGAATAGCTAACAAATTGTGGTACATGAATGTAATGGACTATTAGTTTGCTGTAACAAATGATGGATGTGATAAATATAAGAAGGATGGAAAGCAAGTCTCTGATGCAGAGTGAAGTAAGCAGAGCCAAGTAAACGATATACAAAATGACTACAACAATGTAAACAGAAAGAACCACATAAAAGAAAATCAAAAGTGAATGTTGTAAAATTACAAAGAACAAGCATGACCCCAAAGAAGGGATATGAGAAGACACGCCCACCCTATTCCTTTACAGAGGTGAGATGTTCATGGATGTGGTACACTGCACATTTTTTAAAGTTTTTTTTTTTCAATTTATTGGTTACCTTTGTGGATTTTTTTCCCTTTATATTACTTGATATAAGAAATAGTCTATTGGGGAGTGGGAGGCGTATGGGAATGATCCTGGGAGAAACATCAACAAAAATTTATTTAAAAAAAAAATGCAATTTATAAAGGAGAAGTAAGTTTCTAAGCAAAGAAGGATCAGTGTTGTACAGCTGGTTACATTTTTTTCTTCTTTTGGGAGTTCAGGTTAATGCTAACAAAGCACCGAGAATCAAAAATAACATTATTACTACTCACGTTTCTAGAGCATTATATGCTCCGGTGGCAGATCCTGGATTAATGTAGAATTTATTTTCATGTTCAAAGGCCTCAAATTTGTGTGTGTGTCCTGAAATGAGAATGTCCACATCAAACTGCCTTTGTAGCAATGCTAAGCTGGCCATATCGCCCCACGGAATTACTTGATGTCCATGGATCAAACCAATTTTGAACTGCCCAACGGTCACCACCTTCTGCTCTGGATAATTCAGATTCTAAGAGAAAACAAACACAGAATACACAAACATTTTTTAAAAAATCAACCATTTTTCAATAAATTAACAGTACTATGTCTCATGTTTATATATATTTTTTAGATACACTGCCTTTCATGTAGTAGACACTAAATGAATTTTGTTTGTTTAAACAGTTAAATATTTTTTAAAAATTTTTGACATTTAAAAATGTTTGTTGATTAACAGAAATTAGTCTATAATGCTGGATGTCTCCAAGAAAAAACAGAAAGTGTTGACAAATCATTTAAAAAAGTGAACTTGAATGCTAAATTGTATTTTTCTCTATTAAATCTGACCTCCAGTATCAGAAACTTGGTGGGAAAAGACCCACCAGGCTATAACTCTGCATAGGTACCCTTTATTTAAAAGAAACAAGGTAGGCAAAAAGGGGAAGGAGTGGATGGTGTAGCACAGTACGTTAAGAACTTAAGTGAAAAAACTGAGGCAGACCAATGAGATGAATTGAGGAAACATCACAAGCCTGGCACAAAGAAAAGACACAGTAGTTACAGGGAACTTTAAGTATCCAGACATCTGTCTGTTGGAGCTGACAAAAGCACATCTAACATAACCTCATGACTTACCTTAATGATAACTTAGTTCTTCAAAAGGTAAAGGAACCAGCAAGAAAGAATCCTATCCCAGATCTGATTCTCACAAACAGGGAGGAATTGCTTGCTAGGGTGGAAATGACTGAAAGCTTGAAGGGAGAAAGCAATCTCTCCTGGAGTTTGTGATATAGAAGATGGAAGCTGGGCATAGTTTGTTTTGATATGCACTAGATTTTAAGAAAGCATTTTTCAAAAGGGTTTAGACAGTATTACAAATGGGCTGACTTTCTACAAGGGAGGTCTATAAGGGTTAGGAAACTTTCCAGAATGAAATTTTGAAGGCGCAAAGGGAAAAATTCTGATGAGGCATAAAAATGAGTTTTCTTAAGAGACTGATATGAATGCATAGACAATTCACTAACCAAACTAGATTAAAAAAAATGCACAGACTATGGAAGCAAGGGAAGCTAACAAGATGATTAAAAAAAAAAAAGCATAGCCAGTCCTCTGAGAACAATGTCAGGGATGCTAAAGCTCAGAATGAAGTAAGGTTGGCAAGAACAGCCCAGAACAAAAACAGTGGTTAAAAAAGACATATGAGGAGGGAAGGAGAGAGGAAAAGAATCCAAAAAAGGACAGGATCACTAAGGCGGATGGGATAATTACAAGAACAGTGAGTGGATAAATTCCCATTTTGCTTCCGTTTTTTTCTGCCAGGGAAGACTTCTGGACTGGGGGAAAAAAACCCACAACAAACACAGCTAATAGAGAACTGATAGCCAATGTAAGTGAGGAAATAATAAAGAGCGCTCACCTACCCTTGCTGATGCATTCTAGTCATCTAGTCCACATGAATTATATATATTGGTCAAAGCGGTTAGGAGTGATATTCTAATACTCCTTCCCCTTCCCCCATGTAAATTAACTCAGTTTTTCCTTAAAAGGTACTGAAATTATGTTAAGATTTAATTGGCTCAGGGGACTAAAACTGGGGACATTGATGTAGCTTCCTGGATGTCTGGATATAAAACAGCCAATGAAGGAGGGACTGGAGCTATTTTCCTCTAGGTTGTGACCAGAGACCAGCAGCTTGGATGACATGTACTCAACTGAATCAAAGATAAAGCCTAGATAAAGATCTCTCCTCTGCTCCTATTGTCTTTCCTCTGGCCAAGTAAACCTTTTGTTAATTATTAGATTGATTATGAGTGTTTCATTTTGTTCCAATTTCAGACCTAAAATGATTGTCATTAATATTTGAAAGATTGGAGAACACACGAGGGCTAAAAATGTTACAAAGGTACAAAGGATAAAAATCTCAATTTTTTTTTTAAAGGGAAGATAATGGATTGAGCAAACTACAGGACAGTGAATGTGCTTCACTTTGATTCCTGGGAAAATGCTAGAATGTATTATCAAAGTTATTAGTGACTATCTAGAAAAAAAACACCATGACTTCAAAGAATCATGTAGAAAAGATGAAGAAATGTAGATCAGATTAATAGCACAGAGCTATTCCAAACTGAATGAATAACTAGATTCAGAGAGTAGTCATGAAAGATCAGAGATATGCGTTTAGCCCAATTCTGTTGAACATTTTTCTTTATCCATAACTTAGACAAAGATAAAACTGGCACACCCATCAAATTTGCATCTAGCACAGAGTTGGGAATGATGGCTATAGAGGATTTTCACCTCTACAACCTGCCACCTTTCCTCCAACAGCAAAGAGGCACGAATCACTGCTGTTCACTGACGCTGTCATTAGTCACTCTCAGTACTTCTCCCTGATACAAATAAATTGTGTTACTCATGCCACCAATTTAGTTGTATATGGGGGAAATGTATGCATGGATTATCAGTAATTCCAGAAATCTGAAATACAAACTATTCACATCAGAATCACAAGATGTAAGTGCCATTTCTGGCACTTCTAGATTTTCTAGTACAAGCCTCTCATTTGCCAAAGGGCACACAACTGCTCCATGAAAGGGCTGGGGCATTCTTGGCATTACTAGAGCATAGCTGGCTCTCTGGCAGAACCATTTGATTTAGATACAATTGAAATGATGGCAAATTTGGAAAAATAAAAGCAAAACCATCTTTACTCAACATTAATTAAAAATAGTTTAGTCAAAACTATGTCCAAAAAACTAGATAAAGAGAAACAGTAAAAATACATTACCTCATCAAAGTCTCCTCTAACAATGTGAACATCTCCAGCTAGAGTCTTTAGATAGTCATAACTTTCTTTGGTGCAAAGGTTTCCAGTGCAGAGAATGTGCTGAATTTTTCCAGGTACCAGCAGTTTTTTGAATTTAGCTGGCAGACTGTTGCATCGGTGGGGGATGTGCAGATCTCCTAATACTAACACCAACTTATTAGGTGTCAGGGTATGAAATAATAACATATATTAAACAAAATGTTATAAGCAACACAAGATTTAACCCATAGCAACTAGCATAGACCTATATTCTCCTTTAATTCCTTTTACAAATAAAACACAACAAAAAAGATTCAAGAATTCAAGAGAAAGCAGAAAGTCATTCTTACTCAATACAAAATTACCATTAAAAGGAATTTATTGCTCCTCCTCAGCTCCAGATTAAGCTGGTTTGGTTTTTGTCACAAATAGGTGTGCCCACACAATGCCCACATTCCACATACAGTGAATAAAATGAGCAGTTTTATACTGCTCTGTTTGAAAAGCTCTATACTGAGCTGAAGAAGAAAAATCCGTATTCTTCCTACTTGTGGAATTTGGCATTTTTTTGAAAGCCTGAATTTACAAGAAAGCTGGTAGGACATGATGTCCATATTTTGCACATTTAAAAAAGATGGCACAGGAGAAGATTAATTAAATACCGCAAACTTCCCTAATTGACGTAGCTCACTGAAAAACGTGACAAAAATAAGATTATTCATTATCTTACCCTGATAACAATGCTTTGAAAAGGTATAAAAATATCTGTTAATACCAGGGCCATGAAAAAAAATGAATGGTAAACTGATGCTTTTATATTATATTCTTCTATATTTTTCATTTTCCTTCTCACCTGTTTTATCTGCTTCTTTACCTCAGTTATAATCCCCAAATGCAAAATAACATTTTCTACAATTTTTCAAGTACACTAGCTTCTAAAAGTTAACAACATTCTTTTGCTGAGCTACTAATTTACAAGAGAAATTGGTTATAATTACAACATAGCTTCAATTAGGATAACAAGAAAAGTTTTGCTATTACAATATTAAAAAGCAACAAAATAAACACCATAATAGTAATAGTCATGCAATTTTATTTTGGTTTTCCAAAGGTTCCACACACAAAGCTTTATTTCCTTTTGCCCCTTCATGAAACACTGCCAAGAAGGTCTTTGACAAAGTTTAAACTTATACGTTTTCTATAGGGCCATGAAATCAATTTATTCAAGTAGGTACAAGGAAACAAATTGCCCAACCCTCTCACATCCTAACTGTAAAAAAAAAAAAAAAGTATACATGTAGGTGTACGCATATACACATATGTGTATATAAGTGTGTGCGCACACATGCGTACACACACATACCCTTTTCTCTATTTCTATAAAGGACAAATTTTTAATTCATTTCTAAAGCTGTTAAAGGAAACATTAAACTTTTCAACATGGCATAAAATACTGGTAGGAGATTTGAGATGTGTGCAAACACTTTTGTCACCACAAACTCTGAAAATGAGTTATTCATGCAAATTAAAATGATCACTGAAAGCAGCTGGATTTCATTATGCAACAAAAATCAAAATGGCTGCAAAGCAAAATGAACTGTTACCAGAACACAGAGTGACAGGGGTTGACAAAATTTCCATGCCAATATTGTTAAGTAAGCTTTCTTTTTTTTTTTGAGGCAATTGGGGTTAAGTGACTTGCCCAGGGTCACACTGCTAGTAAGTGTCAAGTGTTTGGTCTGCGGCCGAATTTGAACTCAGGTCCTCCTGGCTTCAGGGCTGGTGCTCTATCCACTGCGCCACCTAGCAGCCCCAGTAAGCTTCTTGAAAAAGAGGAGTAACATTATTTTAGTTGTTTAATAACTCAATGGCCTGAATCAGTTGAATTGTATCAATACAGATCTTGGTGCACAAATGGCTACTAACCACCTGCATACTTCTGCCCTCCCTGAAGAGCATACAGAGGTCTCTGGAGACCAAACAATCTTCACCCTCAGGGGCAGTTGGTCCCTTCAGGTCAGGGTTGAAATCCATAGGAAGTTAATGTGGGACACTGGCATTTGAGAAATGAGAAAAAATAGATGGCCATATGAAAAAAGACTCCTCAAAAACAAAATCACAAAAGGCTATGCTCCCGTAACACTCCAAAATATATTTATTTAAGTAAGAATTCACCTTAAACAGACTGAAAATAATGCTATGTCTTTATGATAATTTCCTTATTAATGATCTCAATAGGTTAGCATATGCTATAAAACGCAGTAGGCTATCCTGAACGTATGCACAATAGACCACAGTAAAGGGATAAGAGTACAGAAACATATGTCATCACTATACAAAAAGATAAGCCCAAAGCAGTGGGGAAGTACACTAGAATCTTGTTATAGGTGTCCCCTAAATCCATGATATGGGACTCAATAGGCGAAACAATGTTATAATGTGTATTTCTGCTACTCTGAGTACAAAGTACCCTTGAATGAGTTTCACCTTACCCCTAATTTCATACTTCAGCAAGTCATGTTATAGCAAGAGTCTAGTGTATTTTAAAATAGAAGTTAGAGCTAATATCAGCCTACAACCCCAATTAGTTAAGGTGTCAGAATTTAGTCATTTACTTCTCCCTGACAGATACAATAAAGGTAAAAAACCCAAGAACAAAATACCATCAATAAAAGTTCAGAAATCTGTACCTCATTAAGATGCTCTAATAGCTCTGAGTCAGTCACCCACCACCAATGTTAGTAGGAGCTACAAGAAGAAACTTACTCTGTGCCCAGCCTTATTGGAATGAAGAAGTTGATTGCAGACAGGGGGGATGAAAAAAAGGGTGAAACATGACCAATGTTAAACAAAAGAAAGCAAAAGAAAGTAAAATTTAAAAATCATTAGTTAAATAAATATGCAAACTGTTAATGAATTCTGCGTGTTATGAAGGAAAATGTTAAAAAAAAAAATCAGCTTTGCTCACACCGTGCTCAAAATGACACCAAAAGAAACCACTTTAATCTTATTAAACTAGTTTGGGGGTTATTTTTCCTTTTTAGGACAATGCTACAAATTCTTTCCAACATTCTTTACCCCCAATGATCCCCTAGATCTGTGGTCCAGATTTTTGTCCTTGGCTTTCAGTTCAATCTAGAATCTGAAATGGCAAATTTGGAGACATTCCCATCAATGGTCACATAACTGGGGCTTGTGTTTATAGATTCGTATGGTGCTAAGTAATCAAATATGCCTCTAAAAGTTACTGATTTAGTAATACCATGACTTTGAACTACTGGTATATGATTCTAATGGTTGCCAAATTATACTGTTGCCAGATCTCTATCATTTATTACGCACACCATGATGAAAGGCAGTGTTACACAGTGGAATGAGCACTGGCCTCAAAGCCAGGAGGATCTGGGTTTAAGTCCAGTGTTCTGCCTATGTGACTGTGGGCAAGTCACACACATTCAGTGCTCGAGGCCAGCAGTTCTCAAAATTTTTTGGTCTCAGGACTCCTTTACACTCATAAAAATTATTAAGGACCCCAAAGAGCTTTTGCTTATGTGGGTAATACCTATCGATATTTATTAATTAGAAATTTAGAAATTAAAATGGATAAATTTTTAAAATGTTTAGTAATTCATTAATACCAGTAATAAAACCCATTACATGTTAATAACACATTTTTATGGGAAAAAAACTTTAATGAGAAGAGGGACATTGTTGTTCTTATTTTTGTAAATATCTTTAATATCTAACTTACTAGAAGGCAGTTGGATTGTCATATCTGTTGTACATTCATTCTGTTACAATACATTGTTTTGGTCAAAGTGTGAAGAAAATATGGCCTCACACAGATACGTAGTGGGAAAAGAGAGGGGCATTTTAATAAGCAAATAAAGTCTTAGTATTTAGATGAAAATAGTTTTGACCTTGGGGACTGCTGGGGGTACATGAAGCACACTTTGAGAACTGCTGCACTAGGCAATTCTCTTTTATTATATGTTGTAAAGAAGGTGTTCACCTGCATTGATAGAGGGAGTTTCCTCATCTAAGAGTTCCCTAAATCAGTAAAATCAGGTCCAAGTCTCTATTCCTCTAGGACCAGGAACAAGCTACTTAAATGCCTTTTGAATGTAATCTAATCCTTTGAATGTAATAAACATTCATTAAGCATTTACAACTTTCAAGTTACTCTATTGGTATTTGGAGTTAACAAAGGCAAAAAATAAAACAATCTCCTCCTGTCTTGATGGGGTGGGGGAGCTGGAGGAGGAAGATAACAAAATAAGGAAAATTTTTCTAGATAAACTGAATCTTCCCTACATATAAGCTTGGTGCTTACAGAATCCTGATATTCTATACCTACTATGTATACCATTACTGAATTTTCCCTGTCCTTTGTGGCAAATGAAGAGTTTTAAAACATAAAGGTGTTGGTTAAGGTTATATAATTCTCCCTGTAGCTTCAAATAAAAAGTGATGCTCCAAGTTAGTTATCTAAAAATGCTATATGCTCATTTTCTATTAATGTGACAAATCTACTGTAGTTGCGGATGCAGCGATCCTCACCTATTAGTTTCTTAGATTTAAGACTTTGAAAAAAGGAATACAGTCTATTTCTTATTTCTTCCCCCCCACGAAGAGAACTTGCTCATTGTTACTGTGCAATGTTATTTTTCCTTTTGCATCAAAGAAGAGGAACATTAGAAACAATACAAATTAACACCAACTAGTCCAGCACCCTCATTTTACAAAGAGGAAACTGAGACCCCAAAAGGACCTATATGATTATAAGGCTTCTAGCAATTTAGATGCAATTCAATTTGCAGCTAATAACCAAAACCAGGACTAAGACCACTAAGTCTGAGTTTAAAACTTTGTCAGTCAATTCTACACTCAATCTACTTCAAAAAAAAAAAAAAAAAAAAAAAAAGCAAAGTGGATTGCATACATCTCAGCAAATTTAAAAATGCAAGTTATATACATGTGTGGGGGATACAATTTAACCTCATACTGATACAAAGAAAAAAGATATCCAGGTTGCTCTAACAGACCCTAAAAAAACAAAGATTTACTGTAATTTCTTAATCAAACGAGTTGATGTATGTGAAACTCGTTGAAAATCTTAAAAGTAGTATATAGTTGTCAATTATTATAATCAATTTAAGACAAGTCTTCTTAACTTTTTTGTATCATGGACCCACCTTTTGGCAAGCTAGCAGAGACTATGGACACTTTCTCTGAATAATGTTTTTAAATAACTGAGGGAAATGCTAAATTTGAGTTATAAGCAGGTGAAAATAAGGGGTAATTTTCTTCCCATCCAACTTCATGGACCCTTTCAAATCGATCCACAGAACCCGTGATGGTCCATGGACCTAAGTTTATAAACCACTGACTCAGGAAGACCAGAATTTAATACTGCTTAATACTTGGACAATTCCAATGGAAGAAGCATGTACTAATGGAAAGATGAATCTACCCCCAATAATCCCAGGATTTAAAAATCGAATTAATCTTACAAGTCACCTACTTTAGGATTCTTTTTTAAAAACTGTTAACTGCATTTCAATAAAATTTATTTTCTATGTAATACTATATGTTTTAATTTATGCATTAAAAACATTCTCAGAAGGGGTTCATAGGCCTCACCAGACAGGCAAAGGAATCCAGGACACAAGAAGGGCTAAGAACTCCTGATTTGTCCCAAATCCCTTATTTCACAGGTGAGCAAATTGAGGATCCGAGAAGGGAACTTGACCAAAGTTACCCAGGCAGAAAGAAGCAGAGTCACCATGAGATCCCCAAATCCAGTGCTCTTTCTACTCTATGAAAGTACCTTTTTTCATAGAACTTAAGGCCCAGGTGGAAAACGGAAATAGGCAAAATTTCTACTTAATACTCAGCTATCCAAGACGTCTCGGAGGCTTCGAACAAAACTGACTTTTGGGGGAAGGGATATGAAAGGTTTGAAGTCTCTTCCCCAAAAGGCCTTTAAAGCTTCCCGAGAGAATTTAAGACCCGGAAGGGACCAGCAGGGGAAAGAATGCCGGATTTGGAATCAGAGAGGATAGGTGTTCGAATCTCAGCTCTGCTACCTCTAATTTTTTTTTTTTTTGTTTCCCTCGGCTAAATGAGGAATTGGGCTAAAGTATATCTAAAGTCTCTTCCTGTTTTCAATCAATGACCTTTCATTTTACTGTGGAGGAAAACTGAGGCCCCGGAGCAGGGAAGGGGCTCTCCCGTAGTCACCTCCACGATTTTGAGGCTGTCACAGCTGGAAGGGACCGGGAGGCCGCCGGGCCCGTCTCCTTCCCCAGCCGGTTCATTTAAAGATAAGGCCCCGGGAGGGAGAGGTGCCTCTGGGTTGGTGAGTGGTCATGTGACGCGGCGGACTACGGCGTCCGGCCTCCCGGGCCAGTGATCCTCGGGCTAGGGGTGAGGGCGCAGGCCTCGTGACTCGGGAGGAACAGCTGACCGGAGGAGGGGCGGTCGAGGCATCTCGGCCTCGGGCCGTGCAATGGGCCTCTGGGAGACACCCCTCTGCTCCGCTCCCTGGGGCCACGCCGCTCGGGCGCCGGGGCCTGACACAGCCGGAACCGGGTCCGGGTCCTCCCTCCGCTTCCACTCCCACCAGCCGCGGCCTGCACTCTTTCCCCCCCGCTCCTTCCCTCTCCCTGTCTCCCCCCCTCGCTTGGGGCTGCTCGCGGACCGCCGCTCTCACCATCCTGTCACCGGCCTCGCTCCGCCACAGCAACCGTCGCCGCCGCCTCCTTCCTCAGCTTCCCCAGGAACCCGCCCACCGAAGGTTCGGCCAATGAGAACGAGCTCCAGCTCCGAGGCGGCGACGGCAGCCCGGAGAGGTCTTGATTCCCCAGTAAGCGAAGCGGAGACGCGCAGATGGCCGGAAGTCTGGGGTGGGGCCGGCTCGGAAAGAGCGGGAAGCGCAGGGCGCTGCTGAGCACGCGCGAGGCGTCGTCGCTCGCGCTGAGGAGGTCTTCTTGGGACGCAACCTTGGTCTCTGCTCCGAGATCCCCGACCCCACCTTGGAGAAAATGAAGTGTGAGATGGGTGGCCACCACGTGAAAGGTGCAGCCGCCATCCCACCTGCCTCCCGAGCCCCACTGGGTGCTGCCTCAGTTTCTCCCTGTGTAAAAGATGAGGGCCAGGCTCGATGATCTGTCAGCTCCCATACTAAATGACCCTTTGACCTGACCCAGACTGGGATTCTGGCTCTACCGCTGCCGTGCTGTGTGTCCTTGGGAAAGTGGCTTAACCTCCAGGCCTCAATTTGCCTTACCTGTAGAATGAGTGGTTTGAATGACCCATGGTTTCCATGACCTATAAGCTTCTTTCCAGCTCTAAAGAGTGAAGGATTGGGAGTCAAAGGGCCCAGACTCAAATCCTAGGTCTGCTACCCTACCTATGATCTGTTTGACCTTGGGCAAGTGGCTTCCTTTCTATGAGCCTCAGTTTCCCTCTCTGTAAAATGAGGGAGAGTATAGATTCTATTTCTTTATGGCCCCTTCCAACCTTAAATTATGGTCCTGTAGCTGAATCCTTCCTCCGCCGTCAATGCTGTGTGTCCTTTAGAAATAATAATAGATGTCATTTCAATCAATCAACATTTATTAAGCACCTACTATGTGCCATGCACTGCGCTAATCGATGGGGATACAAAAAAGAGACAAAAGGCCATCCCTGCCCTCAAATAGCTTGTAATCTAATGGGAGAGACAACAGGCAAACAAATATAAACAAAGCAAACTATATGCAGGATGAATAAGAAATAATTAAAAGAGAGAAAGGGCAGCTCAGTGGCAGTGCAAAGAATGCCTGGCCTGGAGTCAGGAAAACTCATTTTCCTGCATTCAAATCCAGCTGTAGACACTTAACTAGCTGTATGACCCTGGGCAAGTCACTTAACCCTGTTAGCCTCAGTTTCCTCATCAGTAAAATCCAGTATCCTTGCCAAGAAAACCCCAAATGGGACCACGAAGAATCAGACACGACTGAAAAACAACTGAACTGAGAGAAGGCTCTAGAATTAAGAAGAGTTGGGCAAGGTTTCTTGTAGGAGGTGGGATTTTAGTTCAGATTGAAAGGAAGCCAGGAAGGTCAGTAGTCAAAGTGGAGTAAGGAAGAGCTTTCCAGGCATGGGAGACAGCCAGAGGGTGCCTGGAGTCAATAGATGGAGTGTCTCATTTGTGGAACAGGTAGGAGGCCACTGTCACTGGATAGAAAAGCATATATACTCCTCGGGCAGTAAGGTGTTAGAAGACCTTTGCCAAAGGCTTTAAGTTTTTCATTTTCCCTTCTGAGGTGTCACAGGTATTATTATCCCAGTTTGACAGAAGAGGAAATTGAAGCTCTTGAGAGGTGATGTGACTTGGCCAAGGTCACATAGCCATTAAATATGAGAGGTAGGATTTAAGCCCATTTCTTCCTGTCATTAACACTCTCTCCGCTATACCATGTTGTCTATGTCAATGGAAAGGAACCCAGAGCACCTGGGTTAGAATCCCAGCTCAGCCATTTATGGTAAACTTGGGCAAGTGACTTCACCTCTCTGTAATACTGAAGGCAAGTCCCCGCATTTTCCTGATCTGTAGAATGAGCCTTCATGTTATCTAAGGTCCCTTCCAACTCTAAAGAGCAACCATTTTTTGAATCAGAGGACCTGAATTCAAATCCTGCATATGCTATTATTTTTATTCCTAGGAAATTTGTTTTTCTTTTGTGTGCCTTGATTTTCCCCTCTATAAAATAAAGAATTGGATTAGATGATATCTAAGGTGCTTTCATGTTCTATGATGACCTGACCTGAGTTTGAATTCTGGCCTTGCTTCTAGCTCACGTTTCCTTGGAAAAGTTATTTTCCTTCTCTGTAAAATCTGTAAAATGTCCTCCATGATCTTTAAGGTTCTTTCCAGCTCTAATATTCCATAAACCTATAATCCTGTGGAGAAACAATATAGTGGAGCAGATAGAGGCCTGGGCCTTGGCATCAGGAGGGGTTCAATTCCTACCTCTGACAAATACTTGCCCTATGATCTCAGACACTTACCTGCTCAGTGCTCCCAGGCAACTCTCTAAGGCTAAAAGTTATGAATGAGTTGCTTATCTGTATGGACGAAAGGAGTCATCACTCTTGGAGTCATCTACATTGATGAAATCATAAAGTAGATACATTACCCTAACTGGTTTCAAATCCTGGCATCTAGTGAAAGAGCTCTTTGGCCAGAAAGAGACACCCTATCCAGAAGTTTAAAAGTCAGTTAGTTCCATATTTCAGGGCACAGTTGAGGGAGCAGAGATATGTTTTTCAGACTGATATGGATACAGAGAGATAGTCTCTTGAGGCCAGAAACAGCTTCTGGGATTGGACATCTGTTTTTGTTTTGTGTTGTTGTTGTTTTTTGTTTTTAGGAAATTGGGGTTAAGTGACTTGCCCAGGGTCACACAGCTAGTAAGTGTCAAGTATTTGATCTGAGGTCAGATTTGAACCCAGGTCCTCCTGACTTCAGGGCCGGTGCTCTATCCACTGAGCCACCTAGCTGCCCCAGGGATTGAACATCTGGAGCAAAGAAGAGAACTAGCTATGGTATTGAAAGAAAGCTAGTACTGGCAATTGAGAATCAAGCTGTGGAGAGAAGATTTTAGGAGCTTAGCTGAGCAACCTGCCCAGCAGAGATATTATACCTAGGGAGGAAAGGGGAGGGAGAGTTTTGTGAGGGTTCCACTGGGAGAGAAAAGACATCAAGTCTCTGTAATTCTAGATTTGTGAGTTGTCTTGGCCACAGATGTTTCCTGCATGTATTTCTTAGAACCATTCTTCCAAAAGATGCTGAGTGTATTTGGAGAAGAGTACACCCAAGGTTTGTGGGGATATTACTAGTCTTGCTGCTACTGTTCTTACCATGCCTCAGGGCCATCTCCAGTCATCCTGATTTATATCTTGCCACTGGACCCAGATGGCTCCTGAGGAGAAAATTAGGGTGGTGACTTTGCATAGCCCTTCCTCACTTAAATCCAATTTACCTGCATGTCATGGCATTGCCTTCCTGATGTTATGATCCTTTTCGAAGACAAAGGACAAACAACAACATTCTTTCTATGCCATTTTAGTAAATGCTTTTGCTAAGAACTAATTGTATCTGCTGGCTGATTGTTAAGAGGAAGCACACTGGTGGGGACTTGTAAGCTATTGTTTTAGAAGTCATGCTATACATTCTATACCCTAGAAACTTAAAAATAGTCTTTCTCTGAGGACTCAGTGCAAAGGTTTGAGAGCAAGTTTAGGGAGTCCCCCAGAAGTACCCCTATTGTCGCATATGATTTGCTTCTCATTTGATTCTCAAAACAACCCTTTGAGGTGGATATTATTATTATTCTGATTTTACAGATGAGGAATCTGAGACTGAGAAGTGACATGTCCTAAGTCCGTAGCTAGTAAGTGTCTTAGGACAAATTCAAGCCCAAGTCTATTTGATTTCACATTCATCATTCTATCCACCATGGTGTAGTGGAAAGAACACTAGTATCCACAGAATCACATTATTTTAGAGTTGGACCGAACCTCAATGACCATCTCTTGCAACAATTGATAGGAATATCTCCTATCACAGATATCCTTAGACTCCAAACACCAGGATTTGAATACTGCACTTGCTAGATAAAACTTGCATGACTTTGGGCAAGTCACTTCACCCCCTTAGCTTCATCCTCTGTAAGATGGTGATGATATGACCTGCACAGCTTACTTCTGGGACTTTGATGAAGAAAGTGTTCTGTCAACCTTAAAGTGCTATAAAAACATGCTAATATTCAACAGCAATGGGTTCTTGGGGATCACGTCTTAAGTGAAGACTTGGGACAAGCTCTTTCAATCCACACCATTGCTGCCTACTTCTGAGGCATCTGGAGAAACCTTGAAGTAGGTGAAGGCAGCTGAAAGATGAAATATAGGCCCATGTTAGCCAGTATAAAATAAACAATACAACAAAACTTAAAGCAATTTTAAAAAACAATTACTTTCTGATTTATTATTCACAGAGCCATAGCAAATGCTACCCTGGCTCAAGAAATCCAAGAGGGTCCATATAAACCAGTATCATCTAGACAGGGCCCAGGGAAACATTTGGTAGGGGTTTGGCATTTATCCTCCACAACAGTCTCTGTATCTACAGTGTGAGATTGACTAGACCTTTGACACCTTCCCTTGAATAATGTACTACAAAACTACGAATTTAACTAGATATACTTATCACCTTATCCGTGAGGTCTGTATTAATTTTTATCATCAATGACAGGAAAAGAATTTAAAGACCATTCTCCTTTTTCTCCACAGTGTTTGGGAGAGCAATCCACGCTTTAGCTCGAATTAGTGAGGAACTGTGGCTTGACCCAAGCGAAAGAGGTGTAAGTGAAAATTAACTTAACAGATCAAATACAAAAGCAAAGGAAATCGTTTAACGACCTTTAATCCAGATTTGTTGTTTACCAGAAGATGAAAAATGCAAGGGAATTGCTTTGTTACAACTTTTATCTTATATCTTTTTTTTTTTAAAAACCAAACCATTTTTTCCCCAAATATAGCTAACTTGAGCCATTCCAGTTAGTCAATAAACATTTATTAAGTACCGAGTATGTGTCAGACACAGTGCTAAGCACTGGGGAAACAGAGTGAGGCAAAAGATAGTGCCTGCCCTCGAGGAGCTCAGAGTTCAATGGGGAAGACAACATGCAAACAAATATGGATAAGCAAGCAATATATAGGATAAGTTGGAAATAGAAACAGAAGGGACGCGCTAGAATTAAGAGGCTTTCTGTAGAATAAGGGGTTTTAGCTGAGACTTGAAGGAAGCCATAGGTGGAAATGAGGAGGGAAAACATTCCAGGGATTGAGTCATCAAAGTGCTTGGAGTCAAGCGATGGAGTCCCTTATTCAAGAAAGAGCCAGGAGGCTAGTGTCGCTGCATTGAAGAGTACATGGAGGGGGTAAAGAATAAAAAGATTGAAAAGATGTGTGGAGCCAGGGCAGGGGGAAGTAGGTTATGAAGGACTTTGAACACCAAAGAACTTTGTATTTTATTCTGGAGGTGATAGGGAACACTGGAGTATACTGTATGGGGGTGACGTGGTGCTTTAGGAAAATCACTTTGGTGGCTGAATGGGTGATGGATTGGAGAAGGGAGAGACTCATGGCAGGCAGACCAACCAACAGGCTATTGCAGTAGTCCAAGCATGAAGGGATGAAGGTCCGCACCAGGGTGGTGGCAGTATCAGAGAAGAGAAGAAGACGAATTGGAGAGATTGACAAAGGTGGATTCAGCAGGCTTTGACAACAGATTGGATATAGGGTGATGGGGTGAGAGATAGTGAGTAATTGAGGATTATGACTAGGTTTTTAGCCTGGGGGACTGGGAAGATGGTGTTGCCCTCAACAGTAATAGGGAAATTTGGAAGGGAGGGAGTGTGTAGGGAGAAAAATAATTAATTTAGTTTTGGACATGTTGCATTTAAGATGTCTACTGGAAGTCCAGTCGTTGGAGATGAGCAACTGGAAGTAAAATTAGAGCTTAGGACTGGATAAGTAAATTTGACAATCTTCAACATGGAGATGATAATTAAATCCATGGAAGGTGACGATATCATCGAGTAATATGGTATAATGGGAGAAAGGAAAAGGGTCCAGGGCAGAGCCCTCCGGGACATCTATAGTTAGTGCTAGATTGTGTTTTTATATGGATAAAACTATCACAGCATTGTGCTTATATATTACAGTTTCATATAACTACCTAAGTTTTAAGATATTAAAATAATCATTTTGTGTAAATTCATTTGCTTTTTTCCCCCCCAGCTTGCTCTGCGGTCTGTGAATTCTTGTAGATCAGCTTATGCAAGTGTTTTATTCCCAGCTTCATTCTTTCAACTGTACCAGTGGTCAGCTACGCTTGAAATATGTGACAGTAACGTGCCATTGCATCTAAAATGTAAATTAGGAATGAAGGTAAATCATAGAGGACTGAGGGCAGTGAGTTGTTTTTTTTTTTTTTCCCAGTGCATAGTAGGAATATTTGATATGTGGAACAAAAATATAAATTCTTTATACTTTGGTTTAAATTAGAATATTCAATGCCACAATCATTTATAAAGGGGAGCCTGTTTCTGGTAAGCTTACTGTCCTAGGAGTCAACAACTCAAACAGAACTTACAGGCTAGACAGAAGATATTAACATTTAAGCAAGAAACTAATACAAAATGTTTTAAGCTTAAAACTGCATTAAGACTTTTGGGACACCTTGAATTGCTAGTGGTACTTTTGTGGTAGCAAAGAACAGGAAATAGTATATACTCATCATCTGGAGATTGGCTAAACATATGTGATCATAATATTACTGTGCTATAGAAAACAATGACTGTGATGACAGCATGAACAAATGCAAAGTGAAGTAAGCAGAACCAAAAAGACAGTATACACAATGTTTACAACAATATAAATGGAGAAAATAAAGAAAAAAAACACACTTGAAAATGAATTCTTTGACATCAAACTTGGCCCCTAAGAAGAGATTTTTGGATATTAGAAGCTACCTTCCCTTCCCTCCCCCTCCCCTACTTCTGCAAGAGCAGAAGACCATGGGTATGGAACACTACATAAAATGGCAGACTTTTTCAATACGTTTCTTAGTTTTGCTGAACATTAATTTCTTTGCTTCCCCCCCTTTGTTATAGGGGTAGCTCTCTGGAAGGGAATGGGGGAGAATTTAAGTTGGAAATATAGGTGATATAAAACCAAATGATATCACTAAAATTTTATTTTATAAAAAGAATTCATCCGTTAGCCTACTGCATTGAACTGCCATGTTGCAGATAGTCTTCTGCTCATTCTACTGTTATATTTATTATTTTTAGGTATAACTTTACTGTCAATTTATTAGAGTTAAATATGTGAATTTAGCACTCAAAGTGTTGATCATTTCCTCTTTGCAACTTCAGCTTATTAGTTCTAACCGATATCTTGCATATAATTAGGATTTGCTCTCCAGTAAGTAGTTGTGTCTTAATCATGGCAACATGGTTTGAAGAGGGAGGATTCCCACTGGTGAAAGAGTGAGGATATCCATTGTTGAAATTAATTGAGAGGGAAAAAATTATCATTATTTTCTGTTAACTAATCTTTTATATGATTATAAGAAGGGTAACCCTTGACAATTCTTTTGTCTGAGGCTTGTCTACTTATGCGTTCCGAGAACTGAGTTGTTGCTGAGTGTTCTAAGACGGCATTTGTTGATTTGCATATGATGGGATAGTTACTCATTTTTTAAAATATATGACTAGTTACTGAAAAGGAAAGTAGAAAATATATACTGCTGAAAAGAAATCAAAGTTGTTACTTCTCTGAGTTGTACCTGTTGTTACTGAGAAGTAGAGAAGATGATTCTTGCTAAAGGTAGCAGACTTGGAGAGGTTTTTGCTAATATTAGGTAAGGACTTCTGCCTTTCCCAGAAGGAACATAATACTCCTTCAGTTGATGGCATCATTAAGCTTGAATGCATTTATAAGCTTGATGCTCAAAGTGACAGACACTGTAGCTGCTATTAGGAAATGAGCCGAGCTGAGCATAGAAACAGCTTAGAAATGGAGCACCAGAGAAGCAGCCCAACAGATCAACTAATCTAGCTGAGATGCCTTGCCTGCCTAGAGAGGTGTTAGTCTAGAATGGTGGATTAACTCAGTTTAGCAGTGGAAGCGTTTGTTCACAGAGAAGCTGCACTCATCAAGAAACTTTTATGGATGATTCCTGAGACAGAAAGAGGATATTGAAGTTTATTGTTTGTGAGTTGTGAGTATCCCTGGCTACACATGTTCCCTAAATGTATGCCTCATTACTCTGTGACTTAATGTGTACCCAGGCCCTCAGATACTATGTGTGCTGGTGGGAGAAGGCGATTTGGGTTTAGGGATAGAATACTGTGTAAATTTTATGTTTGCTTTTCATTTTCAATTAGTGTTTTAATTAATTCATATTGGTAGCCTATTTATTAATGAGAAGTACATTGGTGGGAGCTTTAGTGTTAGTAGGAATAGTCACTCACAAGGGTTAACCCTTAGACTCTGAGAGGATTGATTATAAGAGCTACCCTCCCTCTGAGGAAGCTCATACTTTCTAGAAAGGGCACAAGTCAAGGGAAGCTAGGCAAAAAAAGAAAGAATGAAGCACTGGTCCTGGAGTCAGGAGGACCTGAGTTCAAATGTGGCCTCAGACACTTGATCCTAGCTGTGTGACCCTAGGCAAGTCACTTAACCCCCAATTGCCTCACACAAAAAAAAAGAAAAAAGAAAGAATGAGTTTTCCTGAGAGTGGAGGGAAGGAGCAAGGAGATGCTACGTGATTTTGAATTGTTTGTACTTAAAGACTCAAGCAGATCATTCTAAAGACCTGCTTATTAAAGAAAAACATATAATTTGATTCCTTATTAATTCTTCATTTTTATTAATCACTGCTTAATCTGACCCTGGTTTTCTCCTTAAGCTTAAGTAGGACCTATTCAATTCAACCAGAATTTTTGTATTAGAATAAATGTCTTCCCCAGTTCAAGGTTGATGCTTCAAGCCTTAGGCCAGTTCAATTGCAAAATTCTTTGCCTTTGATTTCTCTATTCAGATAGTCTTAATTACCTGTGTAAGAGGGGTGTGTGTGTGTGTGTGAGTATGAGGGAAGAGGAGGGTCGTTCAATGAGTGGGAAGAGAAAAAGCATACCCAGAGCAAAACCATTTTCTCTGACAATTTCATCCAAATTTCCTAACTCTTTCATAATCAAATAGATCATTCAAGGTATGCTGTCTGCCCCCTGCAGGGTGCACATGGGTCACTGAAAGTCTGAAAGGGGTTCAGGCTTAAATTGCCCTTTAAATACTGTAATTTCATCACATTGGTGGTGGGGGGGGGGGGAATTCATTCAGGAGTCCCCTGTTGACTTCCCTCCATCCCAGACACACATTCTTATAACTAGTTAAAGGGCGGATGTTTGTTTTCCCTTTCTAAACTCTGTTCTCTCTTAGCAGGAGGAAGGCACTGCCCTTAGTGCTGCCAGTGTCTTCTTTCTGTTTCCATCCTAACCTTTTCTGCTTTTCTATTCACGTGAGTGTGGAAGGACATTAATTATATAACAGCATGATGTTCCTGGTTTTTAGGAAGACACACAGTTATCTTTTCCCTAATCAGAAAATGAGTTTTCTGAACTCCTTTACCAATTCCTCAAAGAGTCTTCACTCTCTTTTTGTTTAATATTTTACCTGCATATCATTTGAAATTTACATGTAATTGTTAGTTACCGTCTCCAAAAGGACATTCACAGGATTGGCTATAACAGGGTTAGGAGTATAAATTCAAACATAGTCTCTTTTTTTATGACATCTTCTTTATAAAACTTAAAATTCTTGTTACTATACTTTTTTTGTTACAGTCAGTTCTGCCCATATTTAGATGCCTGAATATACTTGAAAGAAATGTAGAAAAATGCAGTATTTTTATGAGTGCTAATACATGCCGTGTGATTTTTCAACTCTTCTGCAAACATGGTAGGTATGGTCATAAACTTATTTTCCTTCTAAGCTTATTTCATGTTTATAATAGTTTCATAATACTTCAAATATTCTTAGCATTAGAAATTACTTTGAATTTGTGAAGTTTTATGATGCAAAAAATTGTGCATTACAGATAACTTTACTAATATCAAAAATAGCACTAAAAAGTCAGTTAGTAGTAAAGAATTATTTCTTCATTGAGTAAGACCTAGAGACACAGGTTCTGCATATACACAAACCAGTTTGAAATGCATCCTGTTGAATTTAGTCATACAGTTATTGATTGCTTGCCCAATTCCAATAGAATGTTTCAGACTAGTGTGTATGTAGAGATAGAGAAACACCAAGAAGTAATGAAGTTGGAAGCCACAAAATCCAGACTTGTCAACTTCTAGACCAAATGTTAGTAGTAAAAACATTTAATTGTAACTGCTTTACCTACTTAAAGCTATAATAGATTTAATTATTGTTATATTGATGTACCAAAAAAAAAATCTCAATACAAACGATTTTGGTATTCAATAAATATTTGTCGATTGACTTTGATAGCTTCTATAGAAGGTCTTAATATAAAAACAAAAAATGTACATATTTAAACGTAATAACAATTTTACATTCAGCAGTCTGGTGGAAGAACATTGTTTCAGGATGGAGTTAGAATGTGCTATCATCTTTTATTGTTGCTCTTAAAGATTCAACCAATAATGAACAAATAAATACATTTAGAAATTTCGTATCTGATAAGCTTTTTTGATGTTTTAAGGCAACCTATTAAAGAGATAGTCAAAAAGTCAGGGCATCACACCCAGTTGCAAGAAAATATCTCTGTTTTAAAAGGAATTTGAATAATGCCTCTTTGGTCAGACACAATGACGTGTTTCATGATGTCCACTAGAGAGCGATAAACACACTTCAAAAAAATGCCTGTTTTTTAAGTTCCTCTGCTGTAGGTGATATATGCCTGGAAAATATTCAATAAATATGCTTCTTCAATTTTAGAGGTTTCAAAATAGGTTTGTTTCGTTAGACCTCTGATTTCATTGGTGTGGAAAAATACAGCATTAGAAAACTCCTGCCAAAGCAGGTTAATGACTTCTTTGTATAGTCTTATTCTTACAGGTTGCCTACACTACTGAGAGGTTACACATGCCTTCATTGCATATGTGTGTGTATATAGACACACATATACATACATACACACACATATATACACATATATATCCCTACAGTTTCCTAGATACTAGTTTTCTAATACAATTATTCTAGTTTTACACTAATTTTCTAATTATAACTAATATATAAACATTATAAAATAATATATTAATAATATAAAATACTAGTTTTCCAGTATCACTAGATACTAGTTGCATCAGTGAGTTTGCCAACAAGGACAATGTAACACTAGCTTGCCCATATATATATGTGTGTGTGTTAATGTGTATGTGTATTATATGTGTGTGTGTTGTTATTTGTCATTTGTTTTTAAAGAGGACCAATGACATCACCCGTGACTTCACAGGTGATGTCTTGATTTGCATGTGAATTGAATTTACATGAGGCAGAGTTGCACAAAGTCATCAGCCTCACTCTTTCTTCTTGAATCATCAAAGTCTAGTGGCAGGACAAAAGTCAAGACAACTGGCAATGGCCCAGGATGCTGTGGATGACCTTGGTGTCTTTGATGCTTGACCAAGATCTAAGCACTCTGTGGTACTTACTTCAGCTGCCTTCCTAGCTGTTGAAACAAATTATTCTTATCTACCCATTCTACCAGGGAAAGTCTTTACATGTTTGGGGTAGACAGTCCCCTAACTCACTCACTGACAGGTTTGAGACTTATTAGATACCCTCAACCGGGGTTTAAACTGTCTGTTGAAATGGTTACTGGGGTGTGGCCACTGCACATCCTACAGCTTCGTTGAGTTATAGTATTTAATTTTTCCCAGTTACATGTAAAAAACTATCTTAACATTCTTTTTTTTAAAATTATGAGTTCCAAATTCTTTCCTCCCTTCCTTCCCTCCTACTTGAGAAGGCAAGCAATTTGATATAGCTTGTACATATGCAGTCATGCAAAACATATTTCCATATTAGACATGTTGTGAAAGAAAACACAGACAAAAAAAAATCAAGAAAAATAAAGCTTTAAAAAAAGCATGCTTTGATCTGAATTCAAATTCTATTAGATCTTTCTCTAGAAGCAGATAGCATTTTTCATCATAAGTCCTTCAGAATTGTCTTGGATCATTGTATTACTGAGAACACTAAGTCATTCAGAGTTGATCATCATACAATATTGCTGTTACTATGTACAATGTTCTCCTGCTTCTGCTCATTTCACTTTGCATCAGTTCATGTAAATCTTACCAGGTTTTTCTAAGAGCATCCTGCTCGTCATTTCTTATAGCACAATGGTATTCCATCACAGTCATATACCACAACTTGTTCAAGCCATTCCTCACTTGATGGGCATCCCCTTCCCCCCCATTTCCAATTCTTTGCCAACACAAAAAGAGCTGCTATAAATATTTATGTACATATAGGTCCTTTTCTTTTTTGTTTTTTATCTCTTTGGGATACAGACTAGTAGTGGTATTTCTGGGTCAAAGGGTATGCAGGGTTTTATAGTCCTTTAGACATAGTTCCAAATTGCTCTCCACAATGGTTAGATCAGTTCACAACTCTACCAACAATGCATTATTGTCCCAATTTTTTCCATATCCCCACCAACATTTGTCATTTTCTTTTTCTGTCATATTAGCCAATCTGATAGGTGTGAAGTGGTACCTCAAAATTGTTTTAATTTGCATTTCTCTAATCAATGAAGCTGTAGCATGTGCAGTGGACATACCCCAGTAACCATTTCAACAGACAGTTTAAACCCCGGTTGAGGGTATCTAATAAGTCTCAAACCTGTCAGTGAGTGAGTTAGGGGACTGTCTACCCCAAACATGTGAAGACTTTCCCTGGTAGAATGGGTAGATAAGAAACTAGATACTAGTTTTCTAATACAATTATTCTATTTTAGAGCATTTCTTCATATGATTATAGACAGCGTTGATTACTTCATCTGAAAATTGCCCATCTATATGCTTTGACCATTTATGAATTCCAGAATGACTTGTATTCTTATAAATTTGATTCAATTCTCTACAAATTTGAGAAATGAGGTCTTTATCAGAGAAACTTGCTGTAAAAATTCAGTTATGATTACTATGTATTTCCCCCATCCTATTTTCCCCATGTTTATCCTTCTCTCTCTCTCTTTCTCTCTCTCTCAATCTCTCTCCCTTTCTCCCTCTCTCTCCCTCTCTCCCTCTCTCTTCCTCTCTTTCCCTCTCTTTTTTTTCCCCATCCATCCTCAAAAATGTTTTGCTTTTGACTACCACCTTCCCTAATCCACTCTCCCTTCTATCAGCCCCACCCTTTCTTTTGACCTCCTGCTTTTCTGAAGAGTAAAATAGATTTTATACTCAACTGAGTGTGTATGTTATTCCCTCTTTGAGCCAATTTTGATGAGAGTAAGGTTCAAGCCCTCTGCCCTCTACCCCCATTTTCCCCTCCACTGTAAAAGCTCTTTCATATCTCTTTTATGTGAGATAATTTGCCACATTCTACCTCTCCCTTCCCCCTTCTCCCGGTGTATTCCTCTTTTTCACTCCTTCATCTTATTTTTTAGATATCATCTCATCATATTCAACTATTTCTTCTAAGTATCTTAGTAATAATAAACTTCTTAGGAATTACAAGTATTATCTTCCCATGTAGGAATGCAAACAGTTTGACTTCATTGAATCCCTTATGATATATCTTTCCTAATTACCTTTTTATGCTTCTCTTGAGTCTTGCATTTGAAAGTCAGATTTTTTATTAAACTCTGATCTTGGAATGCTTGAAAGTCCTCAATTTCATTGAATATCCATTTCCTCCCCCCAAAGGATTATACTCAATGTAAGTTTTGCTGGGTAGGTGATTCTTGGTTGTAATCCTACCTCTTTTGCCCTTCCAAATATTGTAATCTAATCCCTTTCATTCTTTAATGTAGAATCTGCTAAATCTGGTGTTATCCTGATATTCTAATATTCCTGGGAGGTTTCATCTTGAGATCTCTTTTAGGAGATGATTGGTAGATTCTTTAAATTTCTATTTTACCCTCTGATTCTAGAATATCAGTAGAGTTTTCTTTGATAATTTCTTGAAAGATGATGTCTAGACTCTTTTTTTGATTATGGCTTTCAGGTAATCCAATAATTCTTAAATTGTCTCTCCTCAATCTATTTTTCCAGGTCAGTTATTTTTCTGATGAGATATTTCGCATTTTCTTCATTTTTTTGAATTCTTTTGATTTTGTTTTATTGTTTCTTGATGTCCCATGGGGTAATTAGCTTCCACTTGCCCAATTCTAACTCTTAAGGAATTATTTTCTTCAGTTAGCTTTTTTTTTTTCCAACCTCCTTTTCCATTTGGCCAATTATGCTTTTAAAGGAGTTCTTCTCTTCAGTGGATTTTTGTACCTCTTTTACAATATGGCCTGTTCTGTTTTTTTTTTAAGGCATTATTTCTTCAATATTGTTTTGTGCCTCATTTACCAAGTTATTGACTTCTTTTTCCCATGATTTTCTTGCATTATTCTCATTCCCCACCCCCACCCCCCAATTTTTCCTTCACCTGCCTTATTTGATTTTTTAAATCCTTTTTGTGCTCTTCTAAGAATTCTTTTGGGGTCTAAAACCAATTCACATTTTTCTTTGAAACTTCAGATGTAGCAGTTTTGACTTTATTGTCTTCTTCTGGGTTTGTGTTTTGATCTTCCCTGTCACTATCATAACTTTCTATGGGTAGGTTCTTTTTTGTTGTTTTTGCTATTTTCCCAGCCCATTTCTTGACTTTTAACTTGATATTAAAGTTGGGTTTTGCTCCCATGGTGGAGGAGGGCACCATCCCTAGTTTCAGGTTTTTTGTGCAGCTGTTTTTAGAGCTATTTCTAGGGTTCTCTAAGTTTTCAGTTCTTGCAAGGTGGCATGATCTGAGGAGAGGTGTGTTGACTATACTTCTGACCTGTGCTCTGGTCCACAAGCTATCTAAAGCACTCTTTTCTGCCCTGAATCTGTGACCAAGTTCCCTGCTTCCCTGCAGCCACAAATTCTGGTGTGCTTCTTGCCACAAGCTCCTCCTTGCCTTGGCTGTGACCCAGGACTTCAACCCCGATCTGTATATGGTCAATGCAACAGAGTCCTGCACCAGCAAAGGGACCGCTTTACTCTCCTGACCAGTTGTCCAACCTCCTTACTGTCTGTGGGCTGAGAGCACTGGAAGCTGCCACCACCGATTCAATTGTTTCCAAGGCCTGCTGCTTGCTTGCCTTGCCTGGGCATTGCCTGCACTGGATTGTGCACTCTTACTCTCACTCTCCATTCTCACTCTAGTGTGATAGACCTTTTCTGCCACCCTTCTAAGTTGTCTTGGGCAGGAAAATTGTTTCACCCCATCCTTTTGTTGGTTCTGCCACTCTAGACTTGGTTTTAAGGCCTTATTTTAAAGTTGTTTGGAGGGGAATTGGGGAGAGCTCAGGTGAGTCCCTACCTTTCCTCTGCTATCCTACCAAAGACTTTCCCATGCTACTGCTTCTTGGAGCCATAGGTGATAGTTGGATGAAGGTGGATGCCAAAGGTGGATTAGAAACCTGGAAAAGGGCTCAGCAAGCCCTCACAACCAGAGATTCTAGTCCTCCCTGAATACCACACACATACATATATGTATATATACATATGTACTAGCTGCATTAGAAGTATATATGTGTGTGTGTGTATAGGTAATATGTGTGTGTGTGCATGCATGCATCTCAGAAGCAGGAATTGACCTCGGGTGTTCTTGATTATGAGGCCAATTCTTTATTCACTATACCATGCAGCCACTTAAGATAGGATTTTTTCAGAATTTAAAAAAAAAAGCCTGTCTTTGAAGCTGATGGATCTGAGATTTCATCCAGGTGGGGTTATTCCTTCCTCTGGTGCAGATTACAGCCCATCTGTGAGTCTTGCTCCCATGTCATTTTTGCTCATGTCCTTTTTGTGTGGCCTCATTAGGGCACTTTGACCTGGCTGGAAGGCTGGAGCCCTTCCTCAGGGTCTTTGAATGCGTTTTAGCTCTCAGTGAGTATCAAGCAAGGGCTGTTGGGGTGTAACACCAACTTGTCCGTGTGTTATTTTTGTTCTGCCCAGATAACTCTTCTTCCAGTCATTCAAAGGATCATAGGCTTCAGAGCTAGATGGGGCCTTAAAAGTCATTCAGTCATAAGTAAGTGTTTAGTAAATATTTACTATGTGCCAGATACTGTGCTGTGTGTTGGTCTCTAGTCCTCATTTTTCCTTTAAGCAACTTCTGTAAGTTAATTATGTACACATTCATTTGGAATTTCAAAATGCTAAGTGATTATTGTGTGCTCTTTTGTAGGTATTATAAAAACTCATAATCTGTCTTTTCAAGAATCTGAGCCTTTACAAGCTGTTTTTGCAAAGAATATGTGTCCTAATATATTGAAAGTTCAGCCAAGGTAATTGAGCTTTCTCAGTCTCTCTGTCTTGATCTCTACCTGCCTCTGCCTCTCCATTTTTCACTCTCAGATACTGAAAGAACTTTGGTCCCAGAATAAAAATTCATAACCTATAGTTTCCAAATATATTACAGTTTTTGAGGTTATAGTAAGTAGCTTAGACACATTAGAGCAAGAGGATTTAAGGAATACATCTTGAGAATGATAATTTAAAGTAAGAGCTACCTAATTGTAGAATTCCTCAACCTTTTGGTGGAAAATATTTTAAAGTTATCCCATCTATGTGGTTTTATCCAGAATGTATAATTTCTCCTTAATGGAGGAAAACTCTCTAATAAAACATTCCTTACTTGAGGCCTTCTAACCACATGACTCTTTGGGTTTAATTAAGTAGATTTTTTCACCACATTTGCCATATGATTTTGGAAGAAATGCTTAATTTCATAGTACCTTAGTTTTCTGTTGGTTGAAGTGAATGATGCCAATTAGTTTTCAATATAGGATTATTTTTGAGGTATGGGTTGGACTAAATGTCTACTGAGGTTGCTTTTATTCTCAAATTCTGTGATACAACGAATCTAAATCAGATTTTCCAGCTAAAAGAGTCAATCATTAAAGATTAATTACTGGGGAAAAGATTCTGGGAAGGTGGCGCAGTAGGTCAGAAAACTTTTGGCTCTCCAAATTTCCTCCACAAAAAAAAAAAAAAAAAAAAAAGACAGAACATCACCTCAGAGGCAACACAGAGCAGCAGAAATAAAAGTCAAGGCAAAGCAGTTGTCCTCCTGGGACAATCTGAGAAGACCCCAGGAAAGACTCTGTTTCCAGGGGGGGCAGAGATTTGGCCTGAGTGAAGTGCAGACATCTCCAGGCAGACTCATTGAATCAACAAACAACAAAGCCTGGGGGGAGCTGGATCAGGAGGCCTCAGGGAGGGAGGCAGGCTAAAAGTCTTAGGAACTTTTACCTTGTACAGTGTTGGGGTCGGACAGCTGAGTAGGGGAAGATTGAAGAGCCCTCTGCTGTCACGGGATGCCAGGGCCAGCTGTGCTAACCTGAGCAGTCCCTGGCTGCAGCAAGGATGTGACTGGTGAGTGTAGTAGAGGGCTTGGAACCCTGATGGCTGTGGGCACTTGCAGGACAGTGGAGTCCCTAGTTTCAGTTCCAGGGCAGAGGGGTGGACTGAACTTTGCAGCCCCAGGAGGGACCACAGGCATCCAACCTCCTTATTACAACTGAGGAAACCCAAGTCTCAAGATTTGAGGAGCCCTGCTTTGCCAAGGATTACGGGAGAGATTAGACTAGAACACAAAAGGGTTCAGATTTCCAGCCCAGTGCCCCTGTGCTGCCACACCCTATGAGGCCATCTTCAGGAGGTGGTATAAGACCAGTAGTTTTAAAATCCAGTTATACGGTGACTGACTCTTTTCATGACATTTTATTCTGGTGCTTTATTAAAGCTGTCGTGGATTTAAAGTATTTTAATTGATGGTGTTTTGTTGTTTATGTGGTTTTCCATGAAGAATATAATTTTTTAAAAATCTACAATAAAATATTAAAATTTAAAGAAAATAATTGACAAAGTCATTATTTTGTTGTGTGTAAATTTAAAAACCTGAACCATAACAACCCATATTGTGAGGTAAAGATCGAATTAACACTTGGTGATTTGTTTTTGTTTGTTTTCCAATTAATTTTAATATGGTTCACTGTTCTTAGGTTGTTGGCTGATATAATGATTCATTTTCCATTGAGTCAAGAAGAAATTACTTTAGCTGTGACGCCAATGAAAGTTTGCTTTAAGAGCTATGTTGAGGATGAAATAGGTAAGAAGTACCTTATGATAATGCCTTTGTAGATAATTTTGAGACTAAGCCAATTAGAAATTACACGGTAGATTCAGAGTTTTAAACTAATTAAGATGTAAAAATCAAGTGAAGACTTTTGGAAAGGGAAGGTAGATTCATCCAAATTGGAATTTAAACCGGGCACTGTTTTTAAGTTGATCCTGGGTCACCAGAAAGGAAACAGATGTAGTAGTAATGACTTTGTCAGTAGTGGGGAAAGATTCAGTATGTTTTCTATTACTTTTATAGCCCAAATAAAAGCATTTTAATGCAAATAAAATTAAGTTTTCAATTCCCATTCTTTTTTTTTTTTAAGAAAATTTTGGCCAAGTTATATGTGAGGGAAACTTTCTAGATGGAACATATGGAAAGGAATAAAAATGAAAGTACATAAAGGTAGCTATCCCTAATGGGATAAAGGTACTTCACAATGGTATAATAGAATCAGGGGTTTGGAGCTATCAAGAAAATATGCCAGCATCTTTTCAGCACAACAGGAACAAGCACAAAGGAAGAAACCTTATTTGTTTTAAAATGAGAAACTAGTAGAACCAGGACTTGTATTGGTTGGATCCGATTCAGTGCCTTTTTATTTTTGGTAGTGATAGGGAGGATTGGAAAATGAACACCAAGTTGACAAAAATACTGCTTTTATTCGCATAAGGCCACTTTGGAATAGGCCCAGGGCTGCCAGTTATTACCTGAATGCATGGCATTGCTCACAAAAACTTACCTAGTATAAGGACTGAGGGGTTGTGTCTTGCCTGCTGTGTCATTTCTTTAGCTTAGGCCTTGACCTAATTCTATCATGGAATCACAGATGCAGAGCTGAGAAGGACCCAGGCCCCTGGTCTAGTCCAGTCCCTTAACTTTAGAGAAGAAGGAATCGAGACTCAGAGAGGATAAAAGTCTTGTCTATGGCCTGTGTGGACTTGGGCCTTGGGCCTGTGGGCCTAACCCAGGTCCTCTGACTCCAAATCTAGTATGTTTTTTCATTATCCCACACTGCTTCTTGGCTATGGAGAATAACACAAGTTCCTGTTGTTTGTGTTAAAAAATATATATTTTGAAGGTCCACCTCATTTTTTTAATAAAATTTTTTTCAATTACCAGACATTTGATTTTCCCTCCCCCTCTGCCCTTCCCTCGGGGAAAAAAGAAAAAGAAAAAGAAAAAGGAACTAGTTATTACAACTTGCAACTAGTAATTATAATCAAACAAAACACATTCCCATATTGAAAAATGCATTTCTCATTTTTCATATTTAATCCATTGCTTTTCTGTCAGGAGGCGGGTAATATTCATCGTCATTGGTTCTCAGGAATTATAATTGATCATTGCATGGATCAAAGTTCTTGAATCTTTAAAAATTATTCATTTTTATAATGTTGATATTATAGTATAAATCATTTTCCTGATTCTGCTCATTTCACTTTATATCAGTCTGTACAAGTCTTGCCAAGTTTTTCAAAAACTATCTTTGAGCACAATAATATTCACTATATTCAAATACCACAGTTTGTTCAGCCATTCCTCAATAGATGGGCTTCCCCTAAGTTTCCGGCTCTTTGCCATTTCAAAAATAACTCACAGCTCTACTTGTTATGTAGGGTTCTCACTCAAGTAAAAAACAATTAATTTAGAATTATAAACTGTGATTCTGACATTTTTATAGAAGAGTAAAAATGTTGCTAACATATATATGTGTGTGTGTGTCTGTGTATGTGTGTGTATGTATATATATTTACATATATGTAACTGGCCATTAATGGATAGTCAGCACAAGTTCAGGTCAAATAGGGATTTTAAAATGTAAGTTTACATTACTTTTGTCATAGGATCATAGGATTTTACACCTGGAAAGGACCTTGTGGTCATCTAGTCTAATCCTCTCATTATAAATGAAGGAATTTTACCCTATAATAGAGTGATTTGTCCAACATCACACAGGAGGAGTTTTGGTATTGAACCTGGGTTTCCTGCATCCTTGTTTGTTGTAGGCGTTTGAAAATGAAAATTGATTCTGAAACAGGCTCCATTTATAAGTGCAAGTAAAGATCTCTTGCATTACTGTATTGTTTAAAGGTGTATGTGTGTGGTGGGGGGGGTTGTTTTTCTCTGCTCAAGATTATTTTGGCAATCAAAAGCATAAGATAACCTCTCCTAAAATATTTGTGGGGGAGGGATGGCTTAGAATTTTAATATACACAATTGTTATTTTGACTAAACTTTCCTAACTTATCTAAGGTCTAGAAAGCACAAATTAAAATCATACCTTTACTTAAAAAAAAGTATTCTCTTATAAAGATTGAGTTGTTCTTAGATCAACTTAGAAAAGAACAAATATGTTTGAAGTAGCAATTTCATTTTCGCAAGATGGAATCGTACAGGATATCTCAAAGTAAATGTTGCTTGTGTAATTTAAATTGAATGTTTACAATGTATTGCAAAATTCACATTGAGTTAATTTCCTTTTTGGGTAAAAGGCATTTGAATATATTGTGTAGTTCACAAAATCAGATCCACAGAACTAGAAAAGAACTTACAGAGCATCTAAACAATACTTTGCCCCATATTAGGTCTTTAATAAATGCTTATTGAATTTAGCTCTACCCTCTCATTTTACAGAGAAGAGAAAAGGCTTAGGGAGGTTAGCTGATTTGCCCAAGGTTGTGGAGTACATAATAGGTTTTATAGAAATAGTTGGATCAGAACGAGAACTGAAATCTAGTGCTTCTTTGAACATGTTTACTGGTAGGTCTTTCATCCTCCTAATTAAAACTAGCTAGTTTTATGTGTTACAAATCGGCACCAACTATGCCATTATCTCTCATTTGAGGAATTTTTATTATACAGAAATATAAACATATTTAAGGTCTGGATTTACTCTTCTGGCTCACCTCATTCACAACTCAGGTCCCCAGAACGTGGGTCTTCTGGGTCTTCGAGATTCTAGGGTGTCTTTCTAATGTAGTGCCTGCTAGTGTGCTTCTCACATAAGTATTAGTTGATATTAATTAGTTAGTGAGATTTAATTGACTTTTAGAAAGGCATATTTACTAAAGTAATATAGTTGGTATAGTTGGTACAAATATTCCCCTTCAAAGCCTGTGATTTTACCACCAGTGCAGAGTTCAGGGCAAAGTGGGCGCACGCTTGGTGAGCACGTGTGGCACAGTAGGCAGTTCCCAGTTCCTGAAATTCCTTTTGTTAGAATTCCCAAGCTGTTCTCCTTAGGGATGGTGTATCTTTTCCGGAATCTCTTCCCAGTCTGTCCTTGGCTCCCCATGCAGACTCTGCCTGAAGTTGTTCCAGGGATGCTGCTAGAATGCTAATAAGAAGATGGAAAGTCTAAACCTCTCCTGACCCTCCAAAGCTTGCAGCATCCTCCTCTGGCCAGGCTGGAGGGAGAGGAAGCAAAGGTGGGCCTACCTTGTGCTCTTCGTCCTTCTCACGGAGTTCCGTTTCAGCAGTGGCTCTCTTTCCCCTCCACCACCAGGCACTTCAATCTCTTGGGCCCTCAACTAGCTCCTGTCTTTATGACAGTCCACAGAGGGCATGAGAAATAAAGAACAATAACAATTACTAACATTTATATAGCATTTACCAAGTGCCAGGAACTTTAAAGCTAGTGTAAAGCTATTTACTATGCAGATATTCTCATTTGATCCTCACAACAATACTGGGAAGTAGGTACTATTGTTATCTCCATTTTACAGATGAGGAAACTGAGGCATATGGAGGTTAAGTGACTTGCCCAGAGTCACACAGCACGTAAAAGTCTGGGGCTGAATATGAACCTAGGTCTTCCATGCCCAGCCCTCTATCCATCATGCCACCTAGTGGACCCTAAGTCCCCCAGCCAATCTGAACAGATATCCTGTCACACCCGTGGGAGGTTCATACTTAGTGAACAATCAAGATATATCTTCATATGTTAAACATCTCAGGTACAGCATCCTTAACTTTAGGTAGACTGGGGTCATTTGATTGCTTTACTTAATCAAGCCCTATCTTTACAATGGAATAAATAATTAAGAAATAGATTAAAAAGGACTCACTTTAATATCCTTTGAATTAGAAACTCATAATGCATCAAAAGTATTTACTTTTGAAAAACCCTGTTTATCAATAGCTTTCTACCTGAATTCCTTAAAGTGTATGGTATTTGTCTAATCTCACCACTTGCCTAATACCGATATTGGAGTGATGATGTCAATCATATAGTTTTTTTCAAAGTAAAACTTAATCGTGGTCAATAAATGTTCCTGAGGATGCTTTGACAACCAGAGACTATGGATCTGACTTCTTTCATCCTTGCTTTTCCTAATATTCAAATAGATTTTGCCAAGTCTATGTACACTGAAATGCATCTTGATCCTGATGAATTTGACTACTTTCAAGTTGGAGTTGACACTGAAGTAACATTTTGTCTTAAAGAACTGAGGGTAAGGACTCATATTTCCTTCATGCTAGAGTTTATAATTATTACTTCTACTTCATAGAAATCCAACTTTTTTTCTTTTAGGGACTGCTGGCATTTTCAGAAGCTACAACTGCTCCTGTGTCTATTTATTTTGATCTTTCTGGAAAGTAAGTCCCTTATATTATTGAGTAGCTATGTATTAATTTATTAACAAATTATAATTTATTATATCTAACCATAATGTATTAAATAAATAATATATTAATTGATGTATATTGTGATAAAAACTTCTAGAATCTTGCTTGAAAATACCTAACCTTGGGCAGATAGGTGGTACAGTGGATAGAGCACCAGCTCTGGAGTCAGGAGGACCTGAGTTCAAATCCGGCCTCAGACCCTTGACACTTACTAACTGTGTGACCCTGAGTAGGTCACTTAGCTCCATTGCCTAACAAAGGAAGAAAAAAAAGAAAAGAAAAAAGTTGACCTAGAAACTACATTATGCTGACGGAGCCCTGATTTATCATTCTTAGTCATTTATAAAGTTATATTTTTATTTTAGAATAAATCATAGCAACTGGTTTTGGTGGCACACTCCTGTATTTACTGATGCTGATGAGGCTGAGGCTGGTGGATTGCTTGAGTCTGGGATTTCTGAGTGTAGTAGGGCTAAAATCAATAGGATGTCCAAATTAAGTCTGGCATCAGCATAGTGAGCCCTTGGGAATGGAGGGCCACCAAGCTTCCTCAGGAGGAATCAACCTGCCCTGGTCAGAAAAATAGAGCAAATGAAAGCTTGAGCTGGCCTGTGTTGGGATGAGGCCACTGTACTTCCAGCTGACGAAGTCTCAAAATAACACCAACATCAACAACAATAAAATAAAATAAACAATAGCATATCATTTTTTTAATTCAGTGAAAGATATCTACAAGTTTTCTATAGTGTATTTAAGTGAAACAATTTATAAAATGGGTACAGTGATAAGAAACTGTACATATGACTCAAATGTATTAACTGTCTCTTAAAGAACTAAAGCATGTTATATGGGATTTTAAAAAAAAATCTTACATTGTATATTTTTACCTGTGAATGGAAAAAAGATTTTTCTACTTGGCTATTTCTATTCCAAAATTAAGTATCTCTCACTGTACTGCTAATTTCTGTGATCTACATGAGGGTACAAATGTCCCTTATACTGTGATTTTACCTTTCTAGACCTGTGGCTTTCAGCATTGATGAAATGGTCTTAGAAGCCACTTTTGTTTTGTCTACATTAGCTGAAGTTCAAAGTAGGAGATCTTCTCCAAGTTCACTGTGCCTTTCACAAAGACTGAAAAGGTAAAGATATTTCCCTCATAAAGGACTGAAAAAACCATTACAGCTTTATTCTAAAATAATCAGTGCCATTCAGTTAGTGAATAAATGAAGTACACATTATAAAATTGGAAATCTTTTCCAAGTTAAAAAAAAAAAAGCTATAGCAAGATTAGTGAGCCACTAGCCATAATCATAAAATAAATTAATTGCATCAGATTCTGTTCTCTCCTTTACCAAATTTTTAACCAGCTTTCCTGGCTGGAATTTGCTAGCCCTCCAAAATTCATTTCAGTCTTGTATCGATTTTTTCCTCAGTCATTAAGATTAAAACCTCACAAGTAGGTCCCCAAATTCCTTGCATGGGGTTCTCCTCAGAAATATAGAGACAGCCATTATGTTGCTTTCTGTTGTACTACCATATCACAATATGTGTAATTGGTTTGATTTACTTTGAAAACCTGTCTGTTGGAAGAGTTTAAAAACAACCCTACTTGATTCTTGGCATTCAACGATTGGTTACATATTATTTCTTGTATAAAACATACTAGGAATGAATGAATGTAGTCATTAAACCTAATGCTATTAACTGCCACTTTGCTTTTCTCTATCAATCCCATAGGACATATTCCAAAATAACTGGCTCATTTAATCCCCATTAATACCTCAGGTCAGATCTGATAAAGCCAAAGGCAGACACTGAAGACAATCTGACAAACATAGAGAAGGAGTTGAGCACAGTCAGAGCAGCATCCAAGAGACCCTCATACCATGAGAGGCAGATCGACAGCACTGAATTAGAAAGTTTTAATATTCCTGCAGTGAAAAGGCTGGACACACACATTGCTGAAACAACAGAAAACTACCTTAGTGTCATGGGAGAGGTGATTCCAAAGACTCAAGTCTATAATAAGGTAAAGGGAAATGATCAGAAGCATGTCTCAATAAAAAAATCCATTCGGAAGCTTGGGGGAAAAAATTAGCTGGCCAAGGCAAGGAAGAAAAGAAGCATTTATTAAAATACTTATGTTCTAGGCATTGTGCTAACTGCTGTGGTTACTAAAATAAGCAAAAGTACAATCCCTGCCCTCAAAGAGCTTATATTCTAGCGAGGGAAGTCAACACACAAAAGGGAGCTGAAAAGGGGATGGTGGTAGGGATAAAGGTGTTTGGTGTTGGGGCACAGTTTTGAATTTCAGGGGAAGTCAGAAAAAGAGTGGGGAGACCCTGAATTATGAGTCAGGAGATCAGAGTTCCATTTTTTTATTATTTATTTTTAACATTCTTTTCTTCTTAAATTTTGAGTTCCAGATTCTCTCCCTCCCTCCCAGCCCTCCCCCACTCACTGAGAAGGAAAATAATACGATAGCAATTATACATGTGAAATCATGCACAACTTATTTCTATATTAGCCATATTGCACAAAAAAGCAAAAAATAAGAAAAGTGAGAAAATTATACTTCAGTTTACACTCAGAGCTCTCTGGAGGTAGAGAGCATTTTCCCCTCATGAGTCCTTTGGAATTGTCTTGAATCATTGTATTGATCAGAGTAGCTAAGTCTTTCACAGTTGATCATTACAACTGTACTATGCACAATGATCTCCCAGTTCTTCTCATTTCACTTTGCATCAGTTCGTATATATCTTGCCATGTTTTTCTGAAACCACACCCCTTGTCATTTCTAATAGCACAATAGTTCTTTGTCACAATCATATGCTACAACTAGTTCAGCTAGTCTCCTATTGATGAGCATGCCCTCAATTTCCAATTCTTTGCCACCTCAAAAAGAACTGCTCTAAATATGTTTGTACATATAGGTCCTTTTCTTTTCTCTTTGATCTCTTTGGGATACAAACCTAGTTGTGGTATTGCTGGGTCAAAGAAAGATTAAACTTATTTTGCTTGACCCTAGAGTCAGAACTAGAAACAGGGCAGGTTGGAGGGAGAGGGATTGCCACAGGTAAACCAATGTAAGAGTTGATTGATGGAAAGAAAAACTTCCTAATAGTGAAAACTGTCCAAAGGAAAATGGATTTGGATTGCCATGTATGGCAGCAAGTGGGTTTTGTCTCACAAAAGGCTTTCCAATGGAGTCTAGTTAGCCACTTGTGAGCAATGTTATAGAAAGAGATTCTTAACCAAGAGTTAAGTCCATTCCTACTTATGTTCTGTGGTTGGTTCTCCTAAGTAAATTAATTTTTCTTGAAGGAAAACTTCATCCCAACCTAGCCTGAATAGTGTCAGATGTCACAATATTTGAGTTCAAATTAGTCAAGTTCATCACAATTTTAGCATAACAGCATACTCTCATCTTAACTGCTGTATAAGAGACAAAGTTAAAAAAATGTGGGTTAGAATATGAATAAGTGAAACATTAAACATTCTTATATTGTTAACTATAAAAATTTATAGCATCTCTCATTTTACATGAGGTTTACATGAGGTTCCCCCGCCCCCCAAAAAAAGATGCAGCTAAGTCAGTTCTGGATTGTTGCTTATTTGGTTAGAAGATTTTATTAGTCAGTATCATTTCAATAGGTTTATGATCTTATTCAATCAATGGATGAATGAAACATTTAATAAGTGCCTATTATGTATAAGGCATTGTACTAGATGTTTTGCCCTTCCCTGATCCAGCATGTTATCCCTTGTAACAAAGATTCACAGCCATTGAATTGGCAAAAATGATACATGAAGAAAACAACAAATATTGGAGGGGCTGTGGGAAAAACTGGAGCATGAATGCACTGTTGGTAGAGCTGTCACTTGGTACAACCATTTTGGAAATTAACTGAAAAGCAAAAGTCACTAAACTGTGCATGCTATTTGACCTAGGGATAACACTTCTAGGCATATACCAGAAAGCAAAGAAAGAAGAAAAGGACCTATATGTACAAACATATTTATAGCAGATCTTTTCAGAATAGCAAAGACTGGAAACTAAGAGGGTGCTTTCCTACTGGGGAATGGCTAAACAAGATATGGTATAGGAATGTAATGGAATAATTGTGTCATAAGCACGGATGAAATGAACAGTTTCAAAAGAAGCTGGGGACATATGTCTGAACTTATGCAGAGTGAAGAGAGAAGAACCAGGAGAATAATTTATACAATGACATAAAAAAACCAACTTTAAAAGATTTTAGAACTGTGATCAGTGAAATGACAAACATGATCTAGAGGTCCAAAGCTGAAGCACGTTTCCCATCTCCTGCCAGAGAGATGATGGACTCAACATGAAGAATGAAAGATATATTTTTAGACATGACCAATGAGGGAATTTGCTTCACGTGACTAGGCATATTTGTTACGAGGGTTTTATTTTTTCTAACATAAAAGTTTGGGTTTTTTTTTTAGAGAAAAAAACCAATTTGGTAAAACTAAACAATCCACTGACAGACTTTGCAATATTTCATGCTCAAAACCCACTACCTCTGAAATGCAGGGAGGATAGGGAAATGCATTTTCTCAGCTCTTCCCTAGAACCAGGCTTGGTCATTATAATTTAACTGCATTCAACTTCATTTTTGTTTTTTTATTTCTTGCTGTTCTTCCCATTTACAGTGTTGTAGTCACTGTGCATAATATTTTCCTGGTTCTGTCTACTTCACTCTGCATCAGTTCATACAAGTCTTTATGTATACCTCTGATTTCATGTTTTTGTTTCCTGTAGCATAGTAATACTTTGCCACATTCAATGCCCAGATTTGTTCAGCCATTCCCCAATTTATAGGTCCCTATTTCCAATTTTTTGCTACCATAAAAGGGCTGCTATGAATACATTTTTGTATATGGGACCTTTCTTTATATATATTTTTTTTACCTCTTTGGCATATATGGCTCACAGTGAGATCTCCGGGTCAAAGGGTACAGACATTTGAGACACTTTTGCCATTTTGATTCTGTAGAGATTGAGGTGTTCAATGATTCATAGCCATATAGCATCACCAGTGTTACTCTGTTGTCTAATGGTGGCATCAAACAGATCCAAACACCTCAAAGACTATTCCAGCTAAGTGCAAACTCTGGCAGATCTCACCATTGTGAAAAGCTTCAAACAACTCCCAGTGACAGACTGTGTGTCTTCTTATGTCTGAGGACCGACCTTGATACATTCAGGGATGCTTACCACCAGATTGACTGCTGCATGGTGACTTTACTGGCCACACCCATACGAAAGACTATCTAACAGCAGGGGCCTCTTGTACAATCTTTACAATATTTGTGTTTAAAAGAGGTGTGAAACATTATGAGCAACATTATCTTACAAATAATGAAGACTAGTGGAGAGGAAAATGAGTGTGGGACAAGTTTGTCATGAGACTCAATAAGCCAGCTCATCCCAAGAGCATTTGAAGATGCAGCTAGGAGAGTAACTTGTCCTCAGACTGTTTCTATCTGAACCCCATAAAACTGAAAACAAATTAACAACAGTAATAATCGCAAATAATGTTGATCACACTAATATCAAGAAGGCTATGGCTATATAAGGCAAGAGACTTGTCAGCATCCTGAAATTAGTTTCTATGGAAAGAACATATTTAAAATAATTTACATCTCTAAAATACCAGCGGTAATGCACATTCAGATATGTAAAATGTGTTGTCATTCAGTCCTGTCCAACTCTTCCTGACCCTATGGACCATAGCACATCAGGCCCTTCCATCCTCCACTGTCTCCCAAAGTTTATGCAAGCTCATGTTCATTGCTTCCATGATACTATTATCTATCCATTATCTTTTGCCATCCCCTTTTCCTTTTGCCTTCAATCTTTTCCAACCTCTTTTCCAATGAGCCCTGTCTTCTCATTATGTAGCCAAAGTGTTTAATCTGCAGCTACAGTATTTGGTCTTCCAGTGAGTAGTCTGAATTAATTTCTTTAAGTATTGACTGATTTGATCTCCTTGTTGTCCAAGGGACTCTCAAAAATCTTCTCTAGCACCATAATTTGAAAGTGTCAATTCTGTGGCACTCCCCTTTCCTTATAGTTCAATTCTCACCATCATACATTGCTACTGGAAAAACCATAGCTTTGACTATACGAACCTTTGTTGGCATGGTGATATCTCTGCTTTTCAGTATGCTACCCAAATTTGCTGTAATTTTTTTGTTTTTTTTGAGGGGCGGTTTCTTTTTTAGGCAATTGGGGTTCAGTGACTTGCCCAGGGTGATGTAGATAGTAAGTGTCAAGTGTTTAGTCTGAGGCCGGATTTGAACTCAGGTCCTCTTTATTTCAGGGCCGGTGCTCTATCCACTGCGCCACCTAGCTGCTCCTTGCTGTAATTTTTCTAGCAAGAAGCGTCTTTTAATTTCATGGCTGCAGTTGCTGTCTACAGTGATCTTTGAGCTCAAGAATATAAAATCTGACACTGATTCTATTTCTTTTCCCTCTGTTTTCTAGGAAGTAATGGGATGAGGATCTTAGGTGTTTTTTTTTTAAATGTTAAGCTTCAAGCCAGTTTTGACACTCTCTTCTTTCACCCTCATCAAGAGACGTCTTAGTTATTTCTGCTATTAGAGTGGTATTGTCTGCATATATGAGATTGTTGAGATTTCTCCTGGCAATCTTAATTCTGGCTTTTGATGCATCCAGCCTGAAATTTCACATGATGTACTCTGCATATAAATTAAATAAGTAATGTGACAATGTAAAGCCTTGTCATACTCTTCCTCAAATATTAAACCTATTAGTTTTTCTATGTTTGATTCTAACTGCTGCTTCTTGGCCCACAAACAGGTTCCTCAGGAGACAAATAAGATGATCCGGTACTCTCATTTCTTTGAGGACTTGTCACATTTTGTTGTCACAGTCAAAGGCTTTAGTGTAGTTAATGAAGCAGAAGCAGATGTTTTTCTGCACTAGAAAGGCCATCATTTGACACAAATATATAAATATATGTAAAACCATAATAT